TAAGGCTCTGCTCCTTACAACGTAACAGGTGCAGGGTGGAGGGGAATAAAGAGGAGAAAAAAACATGGGACAACTCTAATAGCATAATCAATAAAATACATATTAAAAAATAAAGTGTAATTAAGTGATATTTAGTAATTTACAATGTTATGCAACCACCACCTATATCAAGTTCCAAAACATTTTCATAACCCTAAAAGAAAGCCCTGTATGTATTAGGTAGTCACTCCTTCCCAATTCCCTACTACAGTTAAGTCTCTGGAAAATACCAATCTGTTTTCTGTATCTATGGACTTACCTATTCTGGATACTTCATTATATGGAATGATACAATATATAGCCTTTGGTGTCTGGCTTTTTTCACTTAGCATACTGTTTCTGAGATTCATCACCTTGTAGCTTGTATCATTTCTATGGCTTAATACCATTCCATTGTATCTGTATATGTACATTGTACCACACTGTTAGTTTTCCAGTGATTGAACCCTTTGCATTCCCATCAGCAATGTATGAAGGTTCTGATTTCTTTACATCCTTACCAAAAAAGACACTTAAGTTGTATTTTTTTAAAAAATATAACTTGGTATGGAGTAGTATCTCACTGTGGTTTTTAAATTAAATTCTTTGAGATTTATTGAGGTATAATTGACCTCATTGTAGTTTTGATTTGCATTTCCCTAATGACTAATGATGAGCATTTTTGATGGGTTTGCTGACCATTTTTATTGTATAACTACTATGGAGAAATGTGCATTCAAGTCCTTTACTCATATTTTAGTTGGGTTGTCTTTATTGTAGAGTTGTAAAAGTTCTTTTTATGTACTGGATGCTAGACCCTAGACCCTTAGTAGATATATTAAGATAATAGTGCAAATACTATCTTCCATTATCCATTTTTTGTCTGTGCTTTTGGTGCCATATCTGAGAATCCGTTGCCAAATATAAGATCATGAAGATTTATTCCTTTTTTGTTTTAAGAGTTTTACACTTTTTTGCTGTGACATTTTGATACATGATACATTTTGAGTTACGTTTTTGTATATTGTGTCAGGTAGGGGTCCATCTTCACCCCTTTACATGTAGAAATTAGTTATTTCAGAACCATTTGTTGAAGAGACCATTCTTCCCCCATGGAGTGTTCTTGGCACCCTTGTTGAAAATTAATTGGCGGCAGATAGGGGTTTATTTCTTGACTTTCAGTGCTATTTTATTGGTCTATATGCCTTTCCTTGTGCCAGCACCACACTGTCTTGATTGCTGTTGTTTGGGGTAAGTTTTGCAATAGGGAAGTATGACTCTTGTTTTGGCTGTTGGAGTCTCTTGCATTTCCATATGAACTGAGGATTGCTTTTTCTATTTCTGCAAAAAAGGCCTTTGGAATTTTGATAAGTGATTGCATTGAATCTATAGATCACTTTAGATAGCAATTGCTGTCTTATATTAAGCCTTCCAATCCAAGAACTGTATCCCTCAAGTTTTGATATGTTGTATTTTTGTTTTCATCCATGTCAAAGTATTTTCTGATTTCCCTTGTGATTTCTTTGATCCATGAGCTGTTTAAGAATGTGTTGTCCAAAATCCATATATTTGTGAATTTTCCAGTTTTTCCTTCTGTTATAGTTTCATTACATATGTGTCAGAGAGGATACTTGGGATGATTCAGTTTTTAAAAATTTATTGATATTTGCTTTGTGGCCTGGCCTATGGTCTATCCTGGGAAATATTCCATGTGCACTAGGGGAAAATGTATATTTTGCTTTTTTTGTGTGGCATGTTCTGTATATGTCTCTATAGGTGAAGTCAGTTTATAGTGTTGTTCAAGTCTTCCATATCTTTGTGGATCTATGTAGTTGTCCTATCCATTAATTGAAAGTGAGTCTCCAGCTATTTTTGAACTGTCTCTTTTCTCCAATTCTGCTACTTCTTCACACAGTTTGGGAACTCTGTTATTAGATATGTATGTATTTATAATTATCATTTTCCATTCTTCCACTTTTAACCAATTTGTGTTTTTGGAACTAAAAGTGAGTCTGTTACAGACAGCATATTGTTGGAACATTTTTTTTTTTTTAATCCATTGAGCTAATCTCTGCCTCTGAATTGGAGAATTTAATCTATTTACATTCAAAGTCATTGTTGATATGGAAGAATTTACTTCTGCCATTTTGTTTTTTTTGTTTTCTATGTCATATACCCATTTTGTTTCTCAGTTCCTCCATTGCTACCTTTTTTTGTTTGGTTTTTTGTTGTTGTTGTTGTGTACTATTTTCATTAATACAATCTTAGCTTCTATAGTATATAAAAACTCTGTTCATATATAGCTCTGTACCTCCCCCTTTTATTGTTGTCACAAATTACATCTTATATTGTGTTCCCATTAATTCTGATTTATAATTTTTAATACATTTGGCATTTGAATTTTAAACTATAGGAAAGAAAAGAGGAAGTACAAGCCAAAAATACAATAATTCTGACTTATATAGTTACCTTTACTGGTATCTGTTATTTCTTTGTTTAGTTTTGAATTTTTGTCTAGTGAAGAACAAAATTTTTAGATTTATTGTAGGGTAGACCTCCTACCAATGAACACTTTTAGCATTTGTTTGTGTAGGAATGCTTAATTTATTTTTTATTCTTATTGGGTTTGTTTTTTTTTTTAATTCTCACCCAAGGACATTTTTTTTCATTGCTTTTAAAGAGATAGGAAAGGAGAGAGAAAGGCAGAGAGAAAAACATCAATTGGTTGATGGACCCAGGATCATATGTCCTGACCAGGAATTGAACCTGTAACCCTTTGGTTACAGTTTGATGCTCCCATCAATGGAGCCACACAAGCCAGGGCTACTTTATTTTTGAAGGATAGTTTTGTTAAATATAAGATTTGTTGACTTTTGTTTTTTCTTTGAGCACTTTAAACATGTCATCCCACTGCTTTCTATGGTTTATCCTGAGAAATCAGCTGTTAATCTTATCTGTGGACTCCTTATATGAACTGCTTCTCTCATGCTGCTTTCAAGATTTTCTATGTCTTTTGTCTTTTTGATAGTTTGATTTAATGTGTATATCTCTGTTTATTCTTCCTAAAATTCATTGAGCTTCTTGGATGTTTAGAGTTTTGTCTTATCAAATTTGGGAAGGTTGCAGCCATTATATCTTCAAATATTCCTTCTGTCCCTTTCTTTCTGGCCTCTAGGTCTCCAATTATGTGTATGTTGGTATACTTGGTCTCAATGTTTGTGTCCCCTCCCCCCAAATTTGTGTGCTCAGATCCTAACCTGCAAAGACGATGGTGTAAGGAGGTGCTTTGGGAGGGACTTAGGCCATGCGAGCCCTTGTCAAAGAGGTTCTGGAGAAATTCCTTTCCCCTTCTATCATGGGGACACAGTGAGAAGGCACTGGCTATAAAGAAAGAAGAGGGCCCTTATGTGATTGTGCTGGCACCTTGATACTGGACTTTACAGATTCCAGAACTATGAGAAATAAATTTGTTTTTTATAAGTTACCCAGTATATGGTATTTTGTTATAGCAGCCTGAAGACCAAAACACTTGATGTTCTACAGGTGTCTTAGGTTATATTAATTATTTTAACTGGATAATTTGACTTATCTTCAAATTTGTTGATTCATTCTTCTTGCCCTTTCAAATCTGCCATTTAAAAAAACCTCTGCAGAGAAAAATTTCATTTTAGTTATTGTTCTTTGTAGCTCCAGAATTTCTATTTTTTAAAAAATAATTTGTTTTTTTTATTGATATGCTGTTTGTTGAAACCATGTTCTCCTGATTTCCTGTTATTTTTTGTCCTTTTTTCTTTGTCTAGTCACACCATTGTCTGTTTCTATTAATTCTTTCTCTGTATGGACCATAATTTTGTTTCTTTGCATGCTTTGTAATATTTTCTTGAAAACTGGATATTTTGAATATTATAATGTGGTAACTCTGGAAATCAGATTCTACTGTCTCCTCAGAATTTGATTTTATTGTGTGCTGTGGATTCTAGTTGTTGACAACTTTTCTAGACTATTTTTGTAAACTATTTTGTTATCTAAAGTCTGTTTCTGTAGCTTGTGGTCAGCTCGTATTTTGAGAGAGATCTCCTCAAATGCCTGGAGCCAAAAAAAGAAAGGGGAAAAAACTCCTAATTTTTGCAGAATGGCTTTGTGTTGTAGCTCTTTTTAACTGTTTAGCCACATTCTGCCTTACAACTCTGCCTTAGCCTTAATTTCCTACTTGTGCTGAGTATCATCAGTCAAAGGTGAAAGCTTAGTGTCTTTTCAGGTCTTTTCTGAGCATGCTTCCTGCCCTGGGCAAGCATGTAGCTTTCTAAATTCCTATCTTTAGGATTCATGGGCACTTTTCAATGCTGTGATTTCCTCTGAGAAACTCTCTTTCAATCTTTCCTCCCAGGCTCTTGGCATATTTCTTTGCCTCAATTGAATTCTTTTGCCCCAGGTAGCAGCAAGCTATCATTTGCTTCACAGGGTTTTGAAGCGGCTTTTCTACCCTGAGAGTTCTAAGTTAGGCAAAATAAAGACAAGTACCTTGCCTCAGCCCTTCCTCACATAGCCCCCAGTCAGGTCAACACGGACACAATTCTTTCATAATAAGGTCTGCTCTGTTCTCTCCAGAACCAGGGACTAGGTTCCCACACTGAGAATGAAAGCTGCTGTTTCCAAGACCACCTTGTGGTAGGGAAGAGGGGAAAGGGCAAGTAAAAAACTGCAAAGCTTCCCTACTATTTTCAGTTGCCTTTGTCTTAATTCATTGTTTGCTGAGTTGCTGTGTAAATCTCTACTTTCTGGAGTTGTGAGAAAGTTGGTTGTGACAGCTCAATTTTTCAGTGATCTGTGGAGGGATGGGTCCTTGAAACTACTACTACTACTACGCTATTTTTTTGGTGATGTCACTCAAGAAAGGTTTTAAAAAAATTATTTATTATGATATTTTGTTTTAATGAGTAGAGTCCAAGAAAGATATTAAAGTTTATGCAAATTGTTAACAGGATGGTATTCGACGTGGTAGACCCAGAGCAGATACTGTTCGGGATTTAATAAATGAAGGCGAGCACTCGTCCAGCAGAATTCGTTGTAACATCTGTAATAGGGTGTTTCCACGGGAGAAATCACTTCAAGCTCACAAAAGGACTCATACAGGTAAGCTGTGCAAATTTTAGAGAATGTCAAAAATTATGCGTAACTGAAAGCTGATTTGATGTTTGGGCTTATAAATTAATATTTTAGTTGCCTTATATCTCTTTATTGTAGTTTTTAAAAATAGGCACTGTGTATTTTACAGGACCAAGGTTCCTGTGTCTGCTACTTCAAAAGAAAGACCAATATCCAATAGGTCAGAGTTTTGGAGTAAGGAAAGGTTTATTGATTGAGAAGGTCTAACTTGAGATGGCAGAAGTAATTCTCAAATATATTTATTTATTTATTTATTTTTTCCATTACCATTTATCCTCCTTATAACCTCTTCCACCTCCACCCCAAATCACCATCCTGCCCATGAATCCTTTTTCTTTATTGCTCTACCCCCTCCCCAAAACAGCTGGAATTGAAAGGGAGGACAGGCCAGGCAAGGGGTGGGTACAGGCTCTATACAGGTAGACCTTGAAAGCGATCCAAACAACACTGTGAAATTTCTCAATCCCTTTGTTTCTGATTTGTCCTTAGACTCTCACCCCCACCCCTGATGATTTGAGTCCAGTTTTGGAGACCTCTGTGAAACTTTGAGAAACAGTCATTATTTTGTGCATACTTCCCACCCTTGAGGGTTAGGGGAAGCACCCTCTATGGCAAGGGACAGCTCTTGCAAAACCTCAAGCCTCAAGTAGACTTCCTGTAGTTCATTATATCTGCAGCAGGAACTGTTAGCCAAAGGGCAACAGAGAGAGGAAGTATTTCACTGTGTTACAAGTGAGTTTTTTTTTTGGCAGAGAGGGATGGCTTTCTGAACCATGTAACTTCTAAAGTTATAAGGTAATTAATCTAGTAATCAGGAATCTGATTACTAAATTTAGTTCTATCTTTCTACCTATCTGAATTTTACTTGAGAACCCTTAACTTGCCTGTATGATTGTTAAAACTGATTTGTTGGCCATATACTAAGATAATAATTTTCAAGTTTTTCATAAAATTTTTAGAGTTGTCAGTGTGCCATGAGAGTGTTTGACCTAGCCATTAAGGCTAAGGTGAAGTATAGTTTTTCAGAATGAAATATGTTGTAGGCAGCTATTTCAGGACCATCATACATCTTTATTTGTATAGAGAACCTAGACTTGCATTTAAAATACCATATAGAAAGTGAGCAAATACTATAGAGAGAGTTCCTGTTTTTCCTTGGAGAGAGCCTCAGAAGGAGGCTTATGGTTCTAATCATGGTTTCTAATAATTTACAGATGAGGAAACTGAGGTACCAAAGACCAAATGCAGCTGTCTTATAACATCTCATATCCTGAAGTCTAGTGCAATGCCGGTCATTACAGTAGCACATCGGTTCTTGAGCACTTGAAATGTGCCTAGTCTAAATTGAGATGGGCAGTGTATGTAAAATACACTTAGTATGAAAAAAAAAAAGAGTGAATGATGTCCTTAATAATTTTTGATACTGATTACATCTTGAAATGACTATTTTAGATATATTGGGTTAAATAAAATGTATTATTGACATTAATTTCACCCAGCCCTGGTTGGTACAGCACAGTGGGTTGAGCGCCAGCCTGTGAATTGAAAAAAGTTACAAGTTCGATTCCCAGTCAGGACTAGTGCCTGAGTTGTGGGCCATATTGCCAGGTGGGATGGCAGGGAGGCAAGAGATGGATGCTTCTCTCCCTCTCTTTTTCTCTCCCTTCCTCTCTCTCTCTCAAAAAATAAATAAATAAAATCTTTAAAAAAAATTAATTTCACCCATTTTTCTTCCCTTTTTAAATGTGGCTACTAGAAGTGGTTTACACTTTATTTCTGTGGGGCACTACTGGTTTAGAACTTGGGTTTTTAACTCTTAGTCCCCTATTTTTCCCACTGTTTTTATGGTTATCATCTTTTTTCTTTTAGTTTTTTTAATAGTTATTTTTTACTGTATTTTTTCCATTACCAATTACCCTTCTAACCCTCTTCCACCTCCACCCTCTCTCTTTCCTCCTCACCACAGTCACTATACTGTTAATCTGTGTGCAGGAGTTCTTTCTTTTTTGCCCGATCCCTCACCTTTTAGTTTTTGAAAAGATGTTTTTTAATGTTTTGTTAGAATATGCTTTTCTTAGCTAAAATGCCTGAAAAAGGTAAAGTTTAAATTTTGAATCATAAACTGCAGTGGCCAAGAAGTTTTGATTTTAGGTACAATCCAGTAAAAACAATTATTTAGTGAATATTTGATTTTGAGAATTTTTGTATTTTTAAAAAATTTAATTAGTCAGAAATATTCTCAAGTAACTGGTTCACAGGACATAGAGTACCTGTTGCCAGTTGTAGATAAGCTTCAAGACTATGTGGCATAATGAAAAGATCCCTGAGTCCCAGTTCTGGTCACTCTCCTACAGTGTGTCACCCAATAGGATACTTCCATGCATCTGCCTACTACATCGTATATCAGGAAACTGAGCCCAAGATTTCTGTGGTATAGTTAAACTCTAATATTGTGTGTTTTGTAAAAAGCATTTCTCATACCATTTTAAGTAATTCTGCATCTCCTGTGTTTTATGATCTTGTGTCCAACTATCACAACCATTTTGTATGTTTCTAAATAATAAGAAATTTAGGGAGGACTAATTAGTGTTCTCTGAGTCATATTGGAAGAACCAGAGTATAATTGTTGATCAAAGAATGTTTTTTTCAAGAAATAATTATGGTTGAGCAACATTTTTGAGCACCTTCTCCAACCTAGCACTGCACTGAGTGTAGGAATTGGAGTGGAGTACAAGGTATTATGTATCTTTGTGTAAGGAGAGTACCATGATATGTGAACAACATAGGATACCAACTTAGTGAGAGGATACAGAGCTCCACTGTTTGGAGGTAGAGGGAATTTCTTGAGAGCCTCCAGGATTGAGAAGATTTGAATGGGCAGAGAAGATAGGATTTGCAAAAGAGTAGAATAAGATAAGGAACTCCCTCTTGGCTACAGTGAATCTCAGGGGTGAAGTAAAAATAAACCCTGCCCACTAACCCAGTAGCTACATTACAGATTTTAGAGTATCACATAGAAGTCAGCGGATAATTTTTCTTTGTCCAAGGAGTGTAGTAGGGTGTAGGTGAGTCAGGGGGTAGTTACTATGGCAATGAGTTCTGTGCCAGCTACTTTGGAAGTGTTGTGCAGGTAGATTGACTAGAGGGCAGCCAGGGCTTGTTCTAGGTTGAGTTGCCAGTCAATCAAGAGAAGTTGCAGTGGGAAGTAGGAAAAGGAGACATTTTAAAGAATCGGCAAGAGGTTGTGATTTAGATTACGGGGAGAAAAAATATGGGCTAAGCTGAAGATGATAACTTTAAGGATTTGAACCTGGGTACCTAAAAGTTCAAGGCCTGAAGAAAATATTGTGCTTCCAAGTGGATAGCTGCTGGATACCATGAAGGACTGTCTTTGGCATGTTCACTTGCAGCTCTGTCGAGGTTGACATGTTTTATTGCTGTTTGGAGTCATGATCTATATAAAGGTTGATATTCTCCACCTGGCCCTTTTTCTCACCTTATTGTGCCAGAAATAATGTATATAACATCTGTCTGCTTAGGTGAGAGACCTTACCTGTGTGACTATCCAGACTGTGGAAAAGCCTTTGTTCAAAGCGGACAGCTCAAAACGCATCAGCGTCTTCACACCGGAGAGAAACCTTTCGTTTGTTCAGAAAATGGTATGATGTTAGGGGTTAAGTTTATGCAATAACTAGTTGTGAGTTAGTAGTTAAAATATCTTTTGCTTGAATTTTTGGGGAGGGTTTTTTTAATCAAGATTTTAGAAAACAGCCCAGACTGTTGTGTCTAAGTGGGTTGGGTGTTGTCCTGCAAACCGAAAGGTTGCTTGTTGGATTCCCCATCAGGGCACATGCCTAGGTTGCAGGCCAGACCCCCAGTTGGGGGTGTGCGAGGGCCATCAATCCATGTTTCTCTCACAGATCTGTGTTTCTCTTCCTCTCATTCTCCTTCCCTTCCTCTCTCTCTAAAAATAAATAAATCTTTAATAAAGATTTCGGAAAACATCATGCTCAATTTCTGGGAACTGATTGATGTTTTTAAAAATAAAGTGTTTCTTTTTTTAGGTGATAATCTTAAAAGGTAACTTAAAATACTATATCCAGTTGTAGGCAGTAGAAAAGTCTACAGCTTTTATAATAGGCTTTTAGTTTGGTTTTAAACTTGTTAACTATTAAACTGAAGGAAGCATATGATTGTCTACATTTTCAGTGAAGAGGGAAATTTTACCATCTTAACACTGTCACTATTAGTAATTTCTTACTACTTTTAGTGATTTTCTTAATCTCTTATCACAGTTTCTTAGGGTATTTTTCTTGTGCACATTTTTACGTAGTTATAATTGAAATTAAATACCATTTTGTTCTGTAGCTCTGTGGTTTCCTTAATTATTGTCAGTTGTTACAAATGTCTACAGGCTTTTTCATCTAGTGAATTTGTTTAAGCATATACTAGTTACATCTGGATTTTTGCCCCTAACCCCCATATTGTTCAAGAGTCAGCTGTATACAATTATTGCCTCATTGTTGATACTATTTAATTTGTTTTAAAAATTTGTTACTAACAAAGTTGAGGATCATGTTTTCCTACTTAAAGCTGTTTGTCTTTTGGGATGTTGTCCTCTGATAGATTCAAGAATAGAATTCAGAGGGTGTGAACATTTTTATGACTCATGCCAATGAATCACTTCCACTGGGGTTGAATGCATTTATAATGTGGTGATCAAGACGTGAAAGAACAACCATCCCATCCTCTTCACTAGCATTGATAAAATACTGTGCTTAGGGGTTTTTTTCCCCTCCTCTAATTCATAGACTGCTAAATCTCATTGTCTTAATATATTTTTCTTGGTTATCAGCAAAACTGAACATTTTCCATGTCTGCTGGATGTCCAGATTCTGATGAGTGTTTCCCTCTGTGTTCTAAAGGTTGCCTTAGCAGATTCACCCACGCAAACCGCCACTGTCCGAAGCACCCTTATGCCAGGCTGAAGCGGGAGGAGCCCACTGATGCTCTCAGTAAGCACCAGACCGTGGACAACCAGGCTGCTGCTGAGTGGTTGGCAAAGTAAGCCTCTCCCTGGACCCCACTGTAGAATACCACTCAGTGCATGGGCTGATGCTGGGGACTTTACAGCTCTCTTAAAATGAGTAACTTTTATACCCACTTTATGAAATACAATAACTTGAAATGGTGCTGTATTTTCTTAAGCTACAGAATTGTTAGGAGTATTATTAGGATCGGTGTGTGAGAGGAAACTACTATATGATACTAGTCTCGAGTGCCCAGACCATAATTTATTTTAAAAGCAAAAGTTTGCCCCATTTTAAAAGAATGTTTTATACATACTTCATTTGTTATTAGCGCAGCCCCTATTCATTTTCTTATATTAGAATTAGATATGGGCTGATTATTATAGGGATATATGTCTCTATATAGCCCCATATCCATACATACAAATATGTATGGATATAGCTGTATATAGAGAAATGTTCTCCTGAAGTTCAAAAGAACTCCCAGTTTAACGCTTTTTTTTTAAATGGCAACAAGGTGGGGGGAGGCAATATTAAAAAACTTCTCTAAGGATATTTTGATTTAAAGAGTCATCTCTTTGATACAAACCACCAGCTGCTGACTGTGCCACTCTCGAGCTTCATCAGCTTCCTCTGCACTTGGGATAAAGTTTGGAGTCCCTGAGAGTGCCAGTGGAGCTCTGCCTTCCTCTGGCAGGGAAACAGTCTCCAGCCATCTGGGCTCCTGATTCCTTAGCACCACACTCCCTATGGTTTCTGGGCCTTTGTGGTCATTGCTTCCTCTGTGGAATATATCCACTTCCCTCTTCATCTAGCCACTTGCTCCTTCTTCATTTCTTACTCAGATTAAACTTCACTTTAGGAATTTCTTCCCTAACGTGCTTACCAACCCCCAAAACAAGCAAGGTTGAACTCACTTAATAGGTGTTTTTATAACATGTTATTTCCCTTTTCAAAACCTTTATCATATAGTCATTCATTCATTCAGTGTCTGCCTGTCTTCCCTGCTGAACCATAAGCTCTACAAAGGCAGGGATTGTGTCTGTCTTGATTACTATATTACTTTGTACCTCCTCCTTCCTTCCTGGCTGGACTCCACTGCCCCATTATCTCTAATTTTGTCCAAGCCAGAAACTTGTCGGTTATCCTTGTCTTTATCCTTTCCCATCTACTCAGTGACAAACTTAGGGAATCTATCTTAACAACTCAGATTCAGCTATTTCATTGCTTTCAATCCATTCTCCATGCTGCTGCCAGAGGGATCTTTCTAAATACTAATGTGATCCTCGGTATGAAGCCTAAGCCCTTTGTTGTAGCTTCAAAGATCTTCATTACTTGGTCCCTGTGGATCTGGCTAAACTTACCTTTTGCCAGTCTCCTTTCCTAGCCATCCTTCAAGTCAAAATGAACTGTTTCATTTCTTTTTTATACCTCTGAGTATTGCCAAAACTTTTCCAGTATGAGTAGTCCTGATTTCGTAAAATCTAGGAGTTGTACTTTTTGTATCTGATTTTAAAAACAGCTTTACTAAGGTATAATCGACATACAATAAACTGTACACATTTAAAGTGTACAATTTGATACGCTTGGACATAAGTGTGTCTGTGAAGTCATCACCGCCATCAAGATACTGAACATATCCATCACTTCCAACAGTTTCCTCAGCCCCTTTGTAATTCTTCACTCCCACCCCTTCTTGCCTGCCTTCTCCCCCAAAAACTGATCTGCTGTCACTATAAACTAATTTGCATTTTCTAGAGTTTATACAAGTGAAGCCATACAGTATGCACTCCCTGATTGCCTAGCTTCTTTCATTCAATGTAATTGTTTTGAGATTAATCCATGTTGTTGACTGTATCAATAGTTCATTCCTTTTTATTGCTGAGTAGTAGTCCCTTGTGTGGATACACCTCAGCTTGTTTATTCATTCATCTGTTGTTTGGGCATTGGGTTATTTTTGGCTGTTATAAAGAAAGCTACAATGAACATTAATATTCAAGTCTTTGTATGGACAGTTTTAGATACAATGATACTGTCATTTAAATGTGCATTTCTTTAGTTACCAGAGAAGATGGAACATTTGCATTGTGTTTTCTTTTGTGAATTACTAGTTAGCCATGTAATAGAATAATGGTGGTGCTCTTAAATTTTTGAATAAGCTCTATGTGTTACAATCTGTTAAGTCATATTTTGTGGGTTTAAAGTTTCTCATAGTTAACTCTGTGGGTAGGATAAATATGTTTCTAATGGTTATTTGTTCTACTATTTCTATTCTTTAGTGCATTTTACATGTCATCTTTAAGGCAGCTGTAGTTTAATGGCAAAAACACATCATCAGAGGGTTGAGTATAACACTCAGCACTTGCCAGTTTTTGATTTTGGAAATCTGAGGAAATCCCTCAGTTCTTGAACTTGAATTGTTTCCTCTGTAATGAGAAAGATATGCAATATATGTGAAATCACTTTACAACTTTTTAAACCAAAACACACTTAATACCATGGAAAGGAACCTTTTTTAAAAAAGTAAACATCTGAAAATGTCATTTATACCATTTAACTAATGCTGATGCATTTCGCATAGGTATTGGGAAACAAGAGAGCAGCGTACCCCCACCTTGAAAGGAAAGCTCGCTCAGAAGGCCGATCAGGAGCAGCAGGACCCTTTGGAATACCTTCAGTCTGATGAGGAGGACGATGAGAAGAGCGGTGCCCAGCGCCGGCTACAGGAGCAGCGGGAGCGCCTGCACGGAGCGCTCGCTCTCATAGAGCTCGCCAACCTGACGGGGGCGCCACTGCGCCAGTAGCCTGCACACTGACTCTTCCACTGTACAAAAGTACCGCCCAGCATACTTAAAACGTAGATCCCTGGGCATAAGCTAAGCACCTTATTTGCTTATATAGGCTGCTATTCTGTAGAAATTAATGAAGAATGTCATTGCCCCAGAATATGGGGTGAGAGAGAATTGCACTTTTTAAAATATGGTAATGGATTGTTGTAAAGTTTAAAATATTTTGTAAATATGGGACCTCTAGTACAGGGTAGGAACTACATATTGTGGGAAGCTAGATTTTGCAAGTTTAATGCATTCATTGGAAGCAGTTCTCACAGGAAGCACTTTTTGAATAAGACACTTTTATGAAAAAACGGAATGAAACATGTAGCCAAAGAAGGTTAAGATAGATTATTTATAAGATCATTTTTAACAATGTATATTAGTATGTTTAACAATACTGTAAACACTGAAGTAAGCAAGAAAATGTAAGGTGTTTGTGAGATGTATATTTTTAAATTGCAAAATATTGTGACTAACAGTACTAGAGAAGTGGAAAACTGACTATTTTGGAAGATGTCCTAAGTTACAGACTTTGGAAGAAAAATAGATATCCAAGGAGCTTGGTAAGATGCATAATAGTTCAGGATTTTAAAAATTGGAGTAAAGTCAGTCTTATTCTATCTTTATTAGAACTTACTATTCTGTTTAGGTTTGAAAAGCACTTGTCATCTCGGTAACTTGGGAACTTTTGCACATTTCATATTTCTCATTTGCTGAAATTGAGTGATTAATCTTGCAAAGTCTAGGTAAACCTTACTAATCGTTTTCTTCCTTCCTCCTTCCCTTCCTCCCTTCCTCCCTCCCGTCCTTCTTTCCTTCCTTCCTTCCACATGAGCCCTGTTTGAGATTTGGCACTTGGATTTTTATTAATAAAATGGATATCTACAGGGCTCTTTTGTAGTGAACTGTTTTAAATCTTTTGTTAGCAAACACTAAATTTTAATTGTACTGCTTGTTTAGAATTATTAGCAAATGAAAGCCTCCTATTTATATTTTCAGTGCATAAAGCTACCATCTTGCTTTTCAGAGTAACATGCCAAGCTATTTTGTGCTCACTAAATTTAGCTATCAGTTAAACATTGCAGAAAGTATTAGCTACTCAAATAAGTAGGTTTCTGGAATAGTTTTAACTGCACGTGTGTTAACTAGTTTGGTGCTTTTAAACCATTTTCCCAAATAGATGAAGTTTTTAAACACCATTTTATGTACTGAAGCATGAACATAAAAATCAAGAGCTAAGCAGTTCACCTCCTTTATGTAGGCATAAACCTCCATCATTTTAGCTTTTGTTTAAGCAGGAACATGCATAATGTGGTAATTTTTATGGATTGTTTAATTGGAGTAAACCTCAGAGTAATAGAGGGAAATGGGCTCTTCGGCGCCTTTTTTTTTCTATTTTTGAATTGAAGTAGTAGCCTACGTATACAGTTTAAACATTATCTAAAATGTAGGCTTCTTTCTCCCCAAATCCCAATGTGTTACAGTTACAGTTTCACATATGTAGCAGTGGGGAAGGGGAGGGATGTAAATGTCTTGAAAAGGAGCGAAAGTTTGAAAGATGATAGTAACAAATAATGTGCATGATGAGGACATACTTTACAAATGTAATCCTCAGTACAGTGAATTACAAATCTTGAAAGATGTTTTTGTAATAAGAAAATTTATATTTGTAGTGGTCTAAGAATTTTGTTTGTAATCTGATATATAGAATTTTAACTTTGAGCACTTACAAGCACAGTGAGAGACTATAGCATTGAATTTTCTTGGTTTAGGCTTCAACACTTTCTAGATTTTTCCTCTCAAGTATGACTTAAATGAACTATAAAAAGCAACACGTAATAGTCTTGGGAAATTAAACATTTGATGAAATTACATAAAGAAGGAAAGGCAGTGAGAATTTTAAAGATACAAATACTTGTCAATTCAAAAATAATAAAATGTAAGGCCTTTAAAAGTATGGTTGTTTCTCTGGTCAGCTTTTGTCAATTATAATAGTTATATTCACAGACTTTTTTTGTGTAATTGAAAATTTTAAGAAATTATTACAATTATTACTATAGAAATATTTAAAATGTTTTGATATAAGCTATGTACTTGGACAAAATACATTGGCATTTAAAATTTGAGGTGTGTTAAGACTGCTTTTTGTTTTTAAAATGTGGTTTACATTCAGATTTTTGAAGTTTTATGCTTCATATGGCTAAGTTGTAGTTTGGCAGAGTTAACAGCATAAGAATAAACGTGCTGTCATTTTAAAAGATGCTTCGAATAAAATTTTATTTTAATTTACAGTTTAAAGTACATGTTCCTTATTGAACCTTTTATCATTTGTTTTCCTATCAAAAATATAACGACCATAATATAAAAATTAAAAAGGTTTAGAAAGGTCACCAATAGCTCTGCATTCATCATCATTTTGATGCATTTTATATTTCATTCCAGTTATATATACATATTTTTTAATCCTCACCTGAGGATTTTTTTTAAAAAATTGACTTTAGAGTAAGAGGGAGAGAGAGAAACATTGATGTGAAGGAGAAACGTTGATTGGTTGAACATCGATGTGATGGAGAAACATTGATCGGTTGCCTCCCGTATGTGCCTGGACTGGTGATTGAACCACCTCTTTGGTGTAGGGGACCACGATCCAACCAGCTGACCCACCTGACCAGGGCCCAGTCATCTTTTAAGTATAGTTGGAACCATAGTATGAATTGCTTTGTTTTACTTTAAAATAATGGCCTTTTAAATTATAGATAGATATTCATTTAACTTTCTCATCTGGTTCATTACAGTGTTAAAAATACACTGGTGTAGATAAGTATTACATACCTATTGCAGACCTTACATTAGGGTAATCAGGAATAGGATTTAATTTTACTTATATTCAGGATATATGGAATCTGTGGTCACCTCCCCAAAAATGCACTCAGAGTCTGTTTACTTTTCTGAGTCAAGAAAATCTAATTTTTCGGTCGTTATTTTTGGTATATATTTAGTCTTGTACTTGAAATGACAAGGTTCAGCCTGGGGCTTTGCAAAAGAATTTCCCAAGCAACTCTTTAGTTGCGAGTTTTGATTTTAACAGGATGAGATTTTAACAGTGGCTTAAGGTCTTGGAGTGTGGACATAGATGCAAATTAAATGTAAAATGATTAAGGATATCATTCAAAGTGACTACTGTTTGGCAATCAAAACTTACTTGGAGAGTCACTGGAAACTTAATTGGTCTTTTTCAGGAAATTAAAATGACTTCAAGTTGATGTTTTTTTATTCGACTTGCCTATGAATTCATTTTCTATTTTAAAATGGTTTTACGTGTGTTTTCTTGTGTTGGGCAATGTGGACTCTCCCTTTCTGCGTTTTTTAGTGCTAGTTATTTGTCAAAAGATATGCTTTAGTTCTTACCACTGTTGCAAATGTTCTTGGTTATTCACTGCCTACAATAGAAAAACAATTGTATGGAACGGATATAATTAGCTCAAAGCTAAGATTTTGCATTTTTAAAAGTAATGATTTAGAATGAATATATGGGACACTTGAAAAATTGCTACAGCGGGTCTGTGGTCAGAGCAGTTCTGGGAGGATCTCTTTCGGTTAACACCAACAGACGCTGGTGCTTAGTTGTGGGATAGCAGGCCCTCAAGGTAAGGAGAGAACCTGCCAGAAAGCACCCAGAGGCAAGGAAAGCGATGAGACTTTGCACCTACCTTATCCAGCCATTGCACTCCAAGGTACTTACGGAACAGAAATAAAAACATAGACACACGAATGTTTATGGAAGCATTTTTTATACTAGCCCTAAACTGGAAACAACATGCCCATCAACTGGTGAATGGGTACACGGATTGTGGTACTACTCAGCAATGGTAGAAAACAAACAAAAAACCCGTGGGCGAGTGGCAAAAAATACAAAGGGAGTGGAAAAAGCCTTAGCCCTGACCGGTGTGGCTCAGTGGGCTGGGAGTTGACCTGAGGAGCCAAAGGTCGCTGGTTCCTCGTGGTTGGGGTGAGTTTGTGAGGCAACCAACAGATCAATGTTTCTCGCATCCATTTTTCTCTCCCTCTTTCTCCCTGTCTAAAACGAGGGGGGAAAAAAGCGCCTTAAAAGAGAACATGCTCGTGAACTTCTAGTCTAATGGCAGCAGACTCAGAATAACTCCTGATAAACTTTGGTGGGGCAAAAAGGGCACTTTTGGGGGTGATGGAAATACTCTTGATTTGAGTGGATGCACGGGTGTATTTGTCAAAACTATTACATTGTGGACTCGTAAAATCTGCATTTCATTCTACGTAAATAATACGTTAAAAAAAACATTGTAGAAAAAAAGCAAAATCAAGCCTAAAACTTAACTGAAGCGTGTCTCTCCGAGAGCAGTCTGGAAGGAGGTAGGGCATTTTAGCTCTCCCAAACCCATTTCGGCTCTCCATTTAGACTGGGGGCGCTTACACGCACGGTACTTCTGAGTACGCACTCCCGCTGCCGCGGCTCCTCCCGCGCTCGCAGCTTCGGGGCGCGGGTAGCGGCTCGCGGGCACGTGGGGTTCGCGCTGCGGCCCTTCCTGTTTGGGCTGCGCCCTGTCGGGCGACCCGGGGAGGAGAGGGCGGGGACGGAACTGGGGCGGGGCGGCCCGGAGAGCGGCCGACGCGGGCGGCCAGTGGGAGCGCGCCGGTGGCTGGCGGCGGGCGGCGGGCGGTGGGCGGCTGGCTCGGGCCATGACTCGCCAGGCCGACGGCGCGGGCGCGGACTCCGCCTCCGGCCGGCTGCCCTCCGGGGTAGCCCAGCTACTGTCGGCGCTTTTCTACGGGACCTGCTCCTTCCTCATCGTGCTGGTCAACAAGGCGCTGCTGACGACCTACGGGTGAGCCGGACGCCAGGGGTCCGGGCGGGGTCCGCGGAGGGCGCTTCGCTGCTCGGCGGCCCCTTTCCGGCACCTTTGCCACACCTGGCGCCGCGCTGGGTGGCAGGGGCTGGCGAGATTCTCGAGGTCCCCCCGTGGGGGCGGGGAGACGAGGAGCCTCGGCGATGCCCTGCCCTCAGTGCCCGGAGGCCGGGTCGGCTTGGTGGGCGGGACGCAGAGCTGGCAGCCCTAGTGCCAAAGTGGGTGGCTGTGTGCAGGGCACCCTGACCACGTTTTCACGGGGCCGGGACCTTCGCAGCGTTGTAAACACCCAACCACAACCTAACAAAGTCTTTCTACCCTCAGTGACCGCAGGCACGCCTCACGACTACTTCGCAGTTGCACCCACGAGCTGAAACAAATGAAAATTTCTTTATGTGAAGCTACATGTTCAGTGGTCAGATCAGTCCTAAGGGATAAGTTTAGTATTGTGTAATCATTTATTCTCAAGTTACCAGCACGTGCATAGAAAACTGGTGAAAACAATGAGAAGTTCCCATGATGTAGTTTTTTGGATGAGTGTACAGTAAACCAGCAGATTTGTGATTCCTTGAACCTATTTGTAAGGTCTAAAAAAAAATGTGTTTAATTCTATTTTCACAGTAGCAGCATTGAAAGAGCTGTGAATTTAGACCCCACTTAACCATTTATTAGCTAGCTGTGCCTCTTGGGCCAGTCCCACAGTCAGTAGTTTTCTCAGATAACTAAGGTGGATAATTATTGGCCTCTTAATTGCCTCTCAGAGCTTTGCAGGAGCTGTAATAAGTGAGAGCTCTTTGTAAACCATACTTGCTCCAAGACTGTAAAATCAGCATTTTACAAAGAGCACAAAGAGGTGTCAGAGTATCTTCGTTCAGCCTTCTATTTGGTACTTGAGAGCAACGGAGACCCACAGGAGCTTGGCTGGTTACTGCTATAACATACTTAGTGAGCAGCACTTGCTGTGTGGCAAGCCCATCACTGGCACCAGGGAAGCAGCTGTGGACAAACAACACAGAGCCTCTGCCCTGGAGATCCCATGTCAGTGGTGGGGACAGAGAATAAACAAGTGGGTCCATGAATAAACGAGGTGATTTCAGCTATGAAACGAGAGTGCCTGGGATGGAGTGGTTGATGCTCCAGCGTTCCCGACGGAAGGGAAGTTGTTGAAGGGGGCATGAGCTGGGCGGGCTGGGGGAACAGAGAGAGGGCACTGTGGCTGGAACTGAGTGAGCAAGTGGGAGAAGGTAGGAAAGGTCGGCAGGGAGGTCGGCAGGGAAGGCAGGATCAGCCCCTTCATTCAATATTTCTTAAGCACCTTCCATGTGCCAGGCACTCTCCTAGACACTTGGGATACAGAAGTGAATAAAGCAGATCAAAATCCCAAGTGTCATGAGCATACATCTATACTTCTGAAGCATACATGGAGCTTTCTAGTGAATTAAATAAACAAACTGCTAGAATTTATATTACGGCAGAGGCAGCTGTGCAGTCAAGAGAAAAAAAAAAAGGCAGGAAAGGAAGTAAGGCAGGGAGTGTGGGCATGGGAAAGAATTCCATCACAGCATGGTCAGTGAAGCCTCAACCTTGGAGGTGACATTTCAGCCAAGACATAAGTGAGGGGAGGGAGATGGGAGAAGAACAGTCCAGGCATGGAAGAGTAGGTAGCTTGGGTGGGAATGATACTAGATGGGTCTCGGGTAATGGATTGGTAGGTTGTCGAGGGCCTTGGTGGCCACCAGAAGGAGCAGAGGAGTACCATGATCTAAGTCACTCTGGCTGCTGTTTTGAGAGCAGATACTGGGGGACCAGGGTGGAAGCAGGAGACCATCAAACCAAACAAGTCATTTTAATTTTAATCTAAATGCAATAGGAAGACCTTTGGAAGGCTTTACAGTGGGAATGACGTGCTATAATTTGTGTGATTAAAAAGATTTCTTTGGCTGGTGCGTGGGTAGAGAAGTGGTGATTGGAAGCAGGGAAAAGAACCAGGAAGCAATTGCAGTATTCAAGATAATTTTGAGAGATGGCTGGGATTGGGGTTGGGTTAGCAGTGGCTAAAGAGGGAAGCAATAGATTTGGGATTTGTTTTTGGTAGTTCTGTGGCTGTTGATATTGTTTACAAGGTCTCTACCAGTGTGTTGCAGCTTGATGCTGGTGTCCATGGGAAACGCAAACCCTGCTTTAAAGAAATTAAAATGCCCATATGCCTAAACTTGGATCATTTAACACATTCAATGAAAGCTAATGAAAGAAAAAGAAAACTTGAACACCTATGATAAAAAACAAGAAAACGCTATTAGTAAGTTTGTTTGGGAGTGGTTGGAAGTTGTGTGAGATGATATTTGAAGCACAGTCCCCACTTTTTGACCATGAGTGAGCAGGTGTGCTCTCTGGTCATGGTAGTTAGTGCATCCAAAACACGTGTCTTCTAGTTGGAAGCAGGGAGCAATGAACACTGGTAGGTGCTTTGAAAATGAAGGGTAGTGTCCAGCCAAGACGAATATTATAAAACATTCCATGCTCTAGCCTTTCCATCTTTAAAATTTTGAGGTCCATCATTAAAGGAGAAAATCGAGTTTTTGTCTTAGCAAGACAAAATCCTTACAATCCTTATAAGTAAACAGTTCACATTTCTGTAAGATAATATGTTATATAATCGGAGAACCCTGTTCAAATAACATGGTTCATTTTCTCTTCTCAAAATGTTTTAGGAGCAGTTTTGAGGGGAGGAGGGTTGGTGTGATTTGGTTACAACAATAAACCACAGAAATCTGACCCCAGCATTACCTGTTTGAGGATAACGTTGTGTGGTAGGCTGGAATGGAGGACCTTAATAATCACCTCATTCACAGGGTCATGGGAATGGAACTCAGTGGATGTTTTATCTCTTCAGTTTTGTGCAGATTGTGGTTGGGGTACAAGACTGATGGGTGGTCTTAGTTACTTGTGTTAGTTGTTTTATTTTGTTTTAGTTTAACATAATGCTTTATTTTCCTGGGTGCACATAGAGGTCAAGGCTGAAGTACTTGAACTGTCAGACATACTGGGTGCGGGGGGGAGGGAAAAGCAAGGTATTCAGGTTCATGAAAGTTGCGTAGGTGGTCAGGAGTTGTCGTTTTTTTCGTTGCCATTTTAATGCTATTCTTCATGACACCCAAGAATTTACAAATGATGCTTGCAAGATATAGGACTTAATTGTATTCAGTTCACAAGTATTTGCTCTGTGTCTCAGGGCTTTGAGATCATTAAATAATAGTTTCCAAATCTGCCTGGTCATGAGACTCACTTGGAGAGATTTTCATAAAAGCTATTGAATCAGAATCTGGAAGTTTACATTAAAAAACGGAGCCAATACCTTTTTTTAAAAAAGATTTTATATATTTATTTTTAGAGAAAGGGGAAGGGAGGGAGAGAGGGAGACATCGGTGTGTGGTTGCCTATCTCCCCTCACCCCCACTGGAGACCTGGCCTGCAAGCTCAGGCTCGTGCCCTGACTGGGAATCCCACAGGAGACCCTTTGGGTCTCAGCTCAGCACTCAATCCACAGAGCCACACCAGCCAGAACCCAATTCTTAATTTTCTGAAAACGTTGATGAAGACATGCCTCTCCAGAAGACGCTGCTCCCTTTGCAACCCTAGAGGGAGCTGGATCCTGATCGCACCCGGGTGTGGCCGGGGCCAGGGTTGCTGGCGGGGTCTGGTGGCTTCCACAGGGCATGCTCCTTACAAACTCTGGCCTTGTTGCAGGCATTTCAAGTTCTCAGTGATGGCTCCAGGGCTCCTGCAACTCATTTAGTGAAGAGACCTGGTGTTCTTATCAACTGAGACTGGTTTCAGCCTTTGGGGCTTCAGCATATCCTTTCGCAGTCATGGCAACTGGTCACTCGTCCAGAGCAGCCTCCTTCTTTCAGCTGCCTCCTTCCTTCAGTGCTTAAGCAGTTTCTGACTGTCCTGGCACAAAAACGACTCAGGGCTGGCTGGTTTTATATTAAATTGTGGATCACAAACTTCACACAGCTCTCCTTGTCTCACAAATGACTCAGGTTTTGCCCTTTGACATGAAATTGTCCACACACCCATCTTCTGCTTTCCTTTTTTCATACTTCATTGAGAAAATACGAGAAAAATAGAAACCATCACAGGAGGCCACTCCCTGTCTTTCTGCTAACAGGGAAGGAGCCTTTTGTTGTTTCTGTGGAAGGGCTGCCTCCCCACTTCCAGGCTTCCACTCCTCCCAGCTCCTTCCCTGATCCTCCTCTTTTTGCATCAGCAACCAGAACCTTCCCTTGCTCCCACATGGACATTCATTTCTAGTTCTTTCAGTTGGACTTCTCAAAGCGTTGTGTACACATACTGTCTTAACTTCCTTTGCATTCACTCCTACAAGAATTCAGTTATAAAACTAGGGATTGTTAAAATATAGAAATGTACAAAGAATAATAATTATTCATATTCCCACAACCTAAAATCAGTATCTTGAAATATCTATTTCTTAAAAAGAAAAGTCATTCTGTTGTCATCATTATAAAGACTTCAAACAAAAGAAAAATATTAGGGTGAAATTTTAAAAGTTTCAAGCACACAGAAAAATAGAAAGCAAAACACAATGGATACCCATACACACACCACTGAGATGCAATAATTAACATTTTGCTATTTGCATTTCCCCCCAGAACCATTGAATGTAAGTTGCAAACATCATGGTACTTCGTTCTGAAATACTGAAACATTCCTCTCCTGAAATATGGATATTCTCCTACATAGTATCATTTTTTTCCTGCCAAACTTAATAATTTCCTAAAATAATCTAATACCAAATCTATAATTATTCCCATTGTCCTCAAGGGGTTTTTATAGTTGTTTCATATATTTGAAGTAAGATGCAATCAAGCTTCATGCAATGCATAGAGTTATGTCTTTATAGTTTATTTTCATCTAGAAAAGTGCCTCATTCCACGCCTTCCCCATGATATTGACTTGTTGAAAAGCCCTGCTCAGCTGTGTTGTAAAATGCCCCAAATTGTGGATTATCTGATTTATTTTCTTAGGTGTCACTGACTCATTTTCCTCTATTTCCTAATTGAAAGTTATTGAATAGATCTAAAGGCTTGATTACATTCAAGTTAAACATTTTTTTGGCAACACTACTTCATTGCCGACCCTGTGAACTTCATATTACATCTTATCAGCGGTTGTCTCACCATTAATCACGCTGCCTGTGTTTGAAGACTTAACTAAGGTGGAGATTGCAAGTAACGTGTGTATGAAATTACATCTAATTTGAATGGAGGAAGGAGGAGGTTGAACAAAAAGAACTGTTGACCTTCAAATACATATTTCTTCACTACAAGAGTTAATGTTTCTTAAAAGATCCCTTTAAGAGTAAGAGGTCATGAAAAACATTAAGTTGAAGTCATTATGTTTATTTTATAAACACTTTTCAATTTTGGATAATATGTATGACCTCTCTGCTATGAAAGATGAGGTCTCTTGCACACTTCTTCCCCTCCTCCCTCCCCTCCCCTCCATAACTTCTTTTATAGTGTAGCATCCTGTTCTGTAATTATAATCCCACAGTTTATAGTGTAGCATCCTGTTCTGTAATTATAATCCCACTGGAATGTCTCCATTCCAGAATTTATTGTTTTGATTTGACTCCTAATTGGTGGATTCCATTGTCAGGTAGTTTTTTTGTTAAGAGTTCATGGCTGTTGTATTAATTGTGTTGAGCATTCTTAATAGATTTTTCTGTAACAAGTGTGCTTTTAGACTTGAATATTCAGCTTATTTTCTTCATGTCATGGAAACAAATTTGTCTTTTAGCTTTAAATCATTTTCTCTTTTTACTGAGTTCTTCACATCAGACTCAACAGTTAGCCCTGCATGAGGTGTTTGTCTCTCTTCCATCTATTTATCTCTGAGTTTGTCTTTTTCTTCTGCATTTACCCTGATTACCTCTATGGTTGGTAATTCAATTTTCAGTAGTAGCCATTAGTTTTTTGTTGTTTCTAAATTATTCATGTGGCAGGTGTGTTTTTTTTGGTCCTCAGTTTGTTTCCATGGCTCTGTGTATGCCCTCTTCATCTCATTTGACTGTTTTATCCTCTCAATTTTGAACACTTGTTTTATTAACCTCATCTTTTTATTAAGGTGTTCTGTAACCAGAAGCAATTATGAAGAATTCCTTCTCTCCATGTATTATATTTTCTTTTAGGCTGGGCTCTTCGTCTGCTTTGTGTAAGCCTCTTATTGTTCTTGTTGTTGTTGTTGTTGTTGTACTGTTTGTTTTATTTGATGTCCCAAGTTGTATTCTCTGGGAAGCAGACTCTGAGATTTGGGGAAGTATTTGAGGAGCACTCTTGGGATTGACTTCTTGGGTGGCAGGGTGGGAAGCAGAGGGAGAGATTGGGCTGTATTGTGCCTACAACAAAACCTGATCCCAGAACCTCTTGACAGAGTTGTCCTGAGTTAGGGTGAAAGGTGCTAGACTTTCTACGCAGCCTAGACCAGCGATTGGAATGCAGGCTGTTCTCAGAGAGGGTGTGTGCTATTGGCAAGGCAGCTTTCTTCAGCTGAGGATGCTTTTGGGCAACTAGGGAACAAGTGCTTCAGCCCAGAAGAGGGTCTCTGGGGGGCAAAACTCAGCATCCACCCGCTAGAGTTAATTTAATCTCACAATAAAGAGTTAAAGTAATCTCACAATTACTGTCTACATATTTATTCTGTTTTCTCTGTTAAGATAGGCTGATTTTTCATTGTCTTCTTACCTGTCTGAAATAAGTGTGTCTGCACATGACAGGCAGATCAGGGGCTGAGGTGTTTGGTTTTGTTTTTAAATTTCCACCTTTTTTAGTAGCCTGAGAGGATGGCTGGGAGCCAGTGGAAGGTTGGGCAATGAGTGAGCCCAGTGAGGTGGTGAGCTACCTTCTTAAGTATGGTGTGAGGTAGGGATCAGGATTCTGTATCCAGATTGCCCAGTGCCATTTGTAGAAATGGCACTTCATTTCCTCATTGCTCTGCACTGTCATTTTTGTCACAAATCAGGTATTTGTATATACGTGTATCTGTCCCCATCTCCAGTCTCTTCACTTGCCGTAGTGGACTGTCATTGTCCAAATACCACACGGTCTCATTCATTATAAATTTATTGTAAGATTATATTCAGGAGCATAATTTCTCTGGCTTCCTTGTTCTTCAAGATTATCTTGGGTAGTTTTTGCTCTTTGCTTTTCTATTCAGTTTTAGGATCAGCTTGTCAGTTTCCACAAAATACCTGCTGATGTTTTTTACAAAGATTACATTGATTTTATAGCTCAATTTGAGTATAATGGACAATATTGGGTTTCCAATCCATAAACTTTATTTAGGACTTATTTAACTTTTTAAATATTGACTTACAGTTTTCTTTGTGGATGTGTTTCTTGGAAATCTTTTATTAGATTTGTATCTGGTTATATTATTAAAAACAAAACGAAGCAAACAATAAATGAATTACCATATAGCCATCACCCAGTTTCAACAACTTTGTTACGTTTATATCCCTTCTTAATCCCACCATTTCCTCACAAATTATTTTGAAGCAATTTTAAAATATATCATTATAGGCATTTCCATACGTATTTCTAAAAGATAAGAAGGACTCTTTAGTTTTTTAAAAAATAAATACGACCCAGAGCAACAAGACAACGGGTCCTGAATGGCTGCGGTGGAGCCTGGGGTAGGGGGACGGAACCGAACGCCAGACTTGCCGCCGCCCAGTCCACGCCCTCCCATCCGCCCCCACCATGGATGGCTGAGAGCAACTGGGACACAAGGACAGTGCTGTGCAAGGGACCCCGGCCGCGCAGGCCCAGTCCATTCATGCCATCTTAGCAGCTGACACACGAGATGTGGAGAATTCCCAGAAATGGGCTGCTGGCCAGAACAAGCCGCATTCAGTCACCAAGAGCACAGCCGAGCTGGGCGGGGAGATGCTGGAGGTGCGCAAGGTGATCCAGCAGGACCGGACCGGCGGAACAAGGGGCTGACACAGAATACCTGGTGACAAAAATCAACAAAAATCCACAGGTCATCTCAGACTGTGAGAGTGGACAGGCCATTCATAATCAGGTTCTGAGCGCAACTGAGAGAGCTATCGGCCTCAAGCTCTGGGAGAAGGACGATGGGATGCCGACGACAAGGGGCCAAGGGCAAAATGAACCCAAAGCCGTGAAATCACTGCCTTCTGGCTGGTCTGGTTTGTCTGGCTACCCTAGACCAGCAGGGCCATCGTGTGTGTCTTTATGTGCCCAAGCGTGATACGGGGCGTCAGCCCAGCCCTGGAACTCCTTCCACCCAGAGCTGCTTTCAAATAAAACCTTGTACACTGTTTGCTTCTGCTGAGTGTTTTTCCTCCCTACACCCTCACCCCCAATTAGGTGCAAAACACCATCGCCCTCTCTCTCAGTGTCTGGCCACTTGTGGTGTGTCTCCTGGGGGAGCTGAGTGGGATGGGAGCAAGTCACAGGGGCAGGAGAGAGAGGGACCCTGCTGCCTCTAGCCCAGGGTGTTTGCCTCCCTTCAAACAAAAAGCAAAACAAAGCACTCCTCAATATCATTTTGTACCTAAAAATATAAATATAAGTCCTTTTACCATAAAATATCCAGTTAATGTTTTTTTGGTGCTAGTGTAACTGTCTTTAAAATTTTCTTTATCTTTGTGTCTTTCTGGTATGTAGATATTTTTATATGTTTGTCTTCTATCCAGTATTTTGCTAAAGTTATTTATTCTAATAATTTATCCCCAGATTATTTTGGCTTCCTATATACAAAATCATGTTATTCGTTGATATAATGACAGTCCACCTCAAGGGACAATAAAATTTGCCTGGTTTAGTAACCATCAGTTTAAAAAATGAAAGAAATAAACAGATGAAAAGTGAATGAATTTGACATTAAGATTCCGTCATCTAAGATGGAAAGAAAATTGAAGACTTTTTAGTAATCCTGTCACTATGTATTGTATTATCATTTTTGTAAGTTGCTAAAATTATTTATTCTATGTTTTTTTTAGCTTCCCATCACCAATTGTTCTTGGAGTTGGACAGGTAAGTGAAAAAAAGGATTAACCTCTTAATTAATCAGTACACATTAAATTTTAAGTGCTTTTGTTTAAGATTGTGGTTTACCAATTTATTCATCTGGTCACAGTACTCTTGGTGGAACAATGTGAAATAACACATTTTATTTCATTTTAGAATTTAGGAAGAGTGTATTTTTAGGAAAAAGACACACTTATTTTAATTTCCTTAGTAGAATTTAATTACTTTAAAATAAAGGGCCAGAAGACCGAAATCCTGCATGGTTGGCTGGGTAAGCAAGGAATGGGTTGGGGCCTGGGGTGGGGCCCCAGGGCATGGTGGCCCATTGAGGTGTGCACTTGCCAGCCGAGTGAGCCAGCTGAGTGAGCCAGCCGCTGCGCCAGAGAGGGGAGGGGCAGGGGAGATGCCGTGGGGCCTGCTAGGCCCTTATTATCAGAACTCCAGAGTTTTTTAAAGGGAAGCAGGGAATTTGAATTTCTTACATCAGATTTCCCAATTTGTAAATGCTGGCAGTGGATTCCAGTTTTTATAAGACAGAAAATGTTTGCTTCCTGTGGTTTGTGATTTTTGTTCTCAGGTATAAAGTTAACCTTGGAAAAGCTTTCAGACTAACCTGTTTGGCTGTTTCCCATTCATGTGAATTTGTGGCTTGTTCACTCTTTTGGTCATATGCTGGCGATTTCTAGCAGACAAGTGGGAACAATTATCAGGAATTTTTTTTCCTGGTTTAATTTAGAGGGAGAAAAAAATTAAAATTATGAAAATCATGTCTTAACAAAATGTCTAATTGCGAATCTGGAAAAAGCTGTCATTTATACCATCAAACATTAGTCTGGTTAAATGTTTTGCTAATAATGGTTACTCTTTGTAACATCATATTAGGGAGGAAAAAATAACAAACAATGTATTTCCTTAAAGTCAAAAAATATATTATGTTTATGTTTCAATGTGAAAATATGTAGAAAAAAACATTTTAAAAGATCAGTGAATATGTGATTATGTACGCTTTGGGCCTTTGTACTTCCTGAAGCAGATAAAATCACTGGCTGTACTCAGTAAAGGTAAAGTCTTTTTGATTTGTAATTTGTTGGTGGAAGGAGCAAGCAGACCTAATTTTAAAAGTCTGAATTACAGAATATTTTAAATAAGTGTTAGTATATGTCTGTAAGAATTGTAAAGTAAGTTATAAATATAAACTTTATAACTCAGCATGGGTTCTAGTTGTATAAATCTATTCTAAGTATTAAGTCTGTAATGTAAACTCATCGGGATCAAAGTTTGGGATTATAATCATATTGAAGTATTCCTTATATTTTTGCATGGAGAAAATTTTAATATGGAGAAAATTAAGTTCTCAATTTGCATAGGAAGATGATATTAAAATTTATATTTAATAATGATAATCTGGAGTATTACTAATATACCTGGCATGCTCCAGGATAATAGGATTTGAATGAGACTTTTTTTTGCAACACTGGACACATTGTAGAAAATATAAATACCTTTTAAAATTTGTTTTCCTCTTAATTTGCTTTTTGTGTTATAGAAATACTGGACTTTACCAAAAAGTGTATTTATGTGTGGAGTTTGTCCCCCCACTCACACCCCCACACTCACTTTATGGGAGAAGGTGACCGCATGCTTAGTATGTGGAAAGTATGGTCCAGGGTCCAGGGTTCTCACTGACTGTGGTCACTCTGGTCAGTTTGGGGGATACTGTTTCTTTTTGCCCTTTGTCACCATTCCTTAAGCCCCTTGAGATAAGGTGTATGTATGAGTCTATTTGATGCTATACTTTTTTGCCCATAGGTCTGCTGTAGGGCTAAAAATTTTCTTGCTTTTCAGTATTTTTTCTAAATTCATACAGTAGCAAGAAAATCAATTTTAATATTACAAGAAATAGTTAATTTTTCTTGGAACCTAGAAAATGATTTTTTTTGTATATATTTCTTTTTGATGAATCTGTTTTCTTCTGATGTCTTTGTAACTCAAACAGTCCGGATATTTTGCTGAAGTTTCTTTTCCCCTTTTCCTTAGATGGCAGCTACCATAATGATACTGTATGTGTCCAAGCTAAATAAAATAATTCACTTCCCTGATTTTGACAAGAAAATTCCTATAAAGGTATGTGATAAAAAATACATATAGCTATGATGGAAGATGTGAAATTATCACAGAATTACAAATTGATCTTACAGTACTGGTCCATTCCTGTATACACTGTGGTTCCTGTTTGCACTAAGTAGAAACACTTTAAACATTTAAAAATTGTAAATATGATTACCCTTGTAATCATTACCTGAGTCATAAAATGGGATCACAAAATCCTCCTTAACAAATTCTTAGGACTTTTGTAATAAAAATTTCCTTGCTTTTCAGTAATTTTTCTAAATGTGTATGCTTACCTGAATTTTGCAGTTTAGTTTTGCGTATATGTAAAGGGAATTAAACTCAATGTATTCTTTTGTATCTTGCTACTTTCATTTAATATTATAATGGTAAGATTCATCCATGTTGTGTGTAGCTGTATGCTTTTATTTACTTATCCGCTTTACAGTGTAAGGTAATTTTGGTTTCTAGTTTGGGAACTAGAAAAATTAAAAGTACTGTTTTGAACATACTTATAGTTAGATCTCAGCTAGCATTCCCGTAACAAAATACCACAGACTAGGTAGCTTAAACAATAGTAATGTATTTTCTCCCAGTTCTGGAGGCAGGAAGTTCAAGGTCAAGGTGAGAGCAGTGTTAGTTTCTGCTGAGAGTTCCATCCCTGGCTTGTAGACAGCTGCCTTCTTGCTGTGTCCTCACATGGTCTTTACTCTGTGTGCCTGCACTCCTGGTGTCTTCCTCTTATAAGGACACTGGTCCTTTTGGATTAGGGGCCCACTCTTATGGCCTCATTTAACCTTAATTACCTCCTTAAGTATCCTGTGTTCAAATACAGCCATCTGGGAATTAGGGCTTCAAAATGTGAATTTGGAGGGCACACACTTTAGTCCAAAACAGCATACATGCATGAGTTTCTCTGGGAGGTTATCAAGAAATGGAACTGCTGGCTCATAGTGAGCTCATCATGTCTTCAACTAGAGTAGGTAATACCAGATTGTTCTCCAAAGTGATTGTACCAATTCACTCTCATGACAGAAGTGCACTCCTGTTGCTTCTCATTCTTGCCATGTCAGCCGTTTTAAATTGTGCTAATATGGTAGATCTGTAAGAACATCTTCTTAGCTTTTACTTGCGTTTCTCTAGTTATTAATTCATTTTATTTCTCAAGTTGTTAAATTTTAATCCTCACCCGAGGATATTTTTATTGATTTGAGAGAGAGAGGAAGGGAGAGAAAGAAACATAGATGTGGGAGAGAAACATATATTGGTTGCCACCTGTGTGTATCCTGACCAGGAATCAAACTCACAACCCAAGTATGTGCTCTGACCCAGGAATGAACCTGCAACCTTTTGGTGCATGGGATGACGCTCTAATCAACTGAGCCACCCAGCCAGGACCCTTTTCATTTTTCTTTTAAAAGGATTTTATTTATTTATTTTTAGAGAGGAAGAGAGGGAGAGAAACATTGATGTGCAAGAGAAACATTGATGGGTTGCCTCTGGCACGTGTTCCCAACTGGGATCCTGGCCCACAGCCCAGCCATGTGCTCTGACTGGGAATCGAACCTGTGGCCCTTCAGTTTGTGGGACAATGCCCATCCCCCAAGCCACAACAGCCAGGGCCCCTTTTTATTTTTTAATGCCCACTTGGGTATCCTCTTTCGTGAAGTACTTGTTTAAGACTTTTGCCCATTTTTCTATTTGGTGGAAGTCTCTTTCTTACTGATTTGTGTAGGAGTTGTAAAAAATATATTAATGATAGTCCTTTTGTTACTTACATACAGTATTACAAGTACATTTTTTCTCTTTGTGGCATATTTTATGATGTATTCTTTATCGTGTGAAGGAATCTTAATTTTAAAACAGCTGAATTTTATCGGTCTTTTCCTTTATGATTAATCTCTATTTTTCTTATTTGGATAATTCTACTCTGAGGCAATAAAGATATTTTTCTAGATAAATAGTATATCGTTTTTCAGAATTAGATTTTTAATCTACTTGGAGTTGAGTTTTGTGGATGGTGTGAGATAATGGTCCAATTTCATTTTTTCCCTAAATAGGCACTTAGTTGTTACAGACTCAACCAAAAAGTCTGTCCTTAAAATTGTGCCACTGTCTTCACATATGCATGGGTCTGTTTCTGGGCTCTGTCTGCTTTTTCACTTGTCTATTTGTGTTTTCTGCACCATCACCATAAAATCTTAATTTTTATAGTTTTAGGAAAAGTCTTGTTATCTGGTACGACAAGTCTTTCCTTCCTGGTTCTTGATCTTTCACATTTCTATATAAATATTGGAAGCAGCTTTTCAAGCTTCAGAAAAATAACCTTTTGGGATTTTGATTAGGATTGCATAGAAGCTGTAAATCAATTTGGGATGCATTGACATTTTTAAAGTATTGAATCTTTCAATGCATGGAATATATATATGGGTGTGTGTATATATCCCCTCCTTAATTGCCCTTAGTAAAATTTAATAATTTTCTTTGTAGAGTTCTAATGTTTTTATTAGATTTATTCTGAGGTACTTATTTCTTTCATTTTATTTTTGCTATGAACATATCTTTAAAAAATACAGTATTTGGAAAATTAGAGGGCATATTTTTATATTGCTTTTTGTATCTGCAAAACTATGAACTATTAATCACAATTCATTTGTAGTTTCTTTTGGCAATTTCTACTTTCACAAGCAGGCAATTTGCAAAAAGTGACAATTTTCTTTCATTCTTTTCAACATTCTAACTTTTATTTCTTTTATTTGCTTTATCTATAACATAGGACTTCTAATGCAGGTTTGATAGAAATGGTAACACTGAGCATCTTTGCTCTCAGAGGAAAAGCTTTTAACAATTCACCATTAAGTAAAGTTTTGCTGTTTGTGCTTGAGGGGAAGTGAAGGAGAAAGAGAGGGAGGGAACCATAAATGTGTGAGAGAAACATCAATGCATTGCCTGTTGCAGGCCCCTAACAGGGAGCCTGACCGGAATTGAACCTGCAGCCTTTCCATTTGTGGGATGATGCCCAACCCACTGAGCCATACCTGTCAGGGATGCTGTTGGTTTTTTATAGATAACCTCTGTTTTTTTTTTTTTTTTTTCTTTTCTGTATCCTTCCTGAAGTCCTCCAAGATTTTCCTTATATATTTGGGTGCTCTCATGTTGGGTACATATATGTTTATAATGTTTATGTCTTCTTGATGGAATCTTCCTTTGAATATTTTGAAGTATACTTCTGGGTCTCTTTTAATGGCCTTTGTTTTGAAGTCTGTTTTGTCTAATATAAGCATTGCTACCCCTGCTTTTTTTTCCCTGTTCATGTCCTTGGAATATTTTTTTCCATCCCTTTACTTTCAGTCTGTGTAGGTCCTTTGTACTGAGGTAGGTCTCTTGTAGGCAGAATATGTGTGGGTCATGTTTTCTTATCCATTTGGCTATCCTATGTCTTCTGATTGGGGCATTTAATCTACTTACATTTAAAGTTGTTATTGATAGGTACTTATTCATTTTTCCCCTTTGTTCCTGTGTTCCTCTCTTTCACTCTTTTTCTTCATCTTCTTAAAGCAGTCCCTTTAGCATATCTTGCAGTGCTGGTTTGGTGGAGGTGTATTCTTTTAGCCTTCTTTTGTCTGGGAAACTCCTTATTTCGCCTTCCATTTTAATTGAGAGTCTTGCTGGGTAGAGCAGTCTTGGTGGCAAGCCTTTGTTTTCATGAATTGGGATATTTCTTGCCATTCCCTTCTGGCTTGTAGTGTTTCTCTTGAGGAGTCAGCTGCTAGCCTTATCAGGAATCTCTTGTATGTTATTACCTCTTTCTCCCTTGCCGCCTTTAGGATTCTCTATTTGTCTTTGATATTTGCCATTTTAATGATGTGTCTTGGAGTGGGGTTCATTGGGTTCCTCTTGAATGGGACCCTCTGTGCTTCCTGGACTTGTGACTTTTTCTCTCCTCCAAGTAGGGAAGTTTTCCATCATTACTTTTTCAAACAGGTTCTCTATCCCTTGCTCCTCTTCTTCTTCTGGTATCCCTACTATACAGATATTATTACGTTTCACGTTGTCCTGCATTTCCCTAAACGCCTCTTCATTCTTTTTGAGTCTTTTCATTTTCTTGCTATTTCTGGGAGCTTTTTTCTACTCGGTCCTGCAGTTCACTGATTCAGTCCTCAGCTTCATTGAGCCTGTTTTTGACTCCTTCTACTGTGTTCTTCAATTCAGAAATTGTATTCTTCATTTCCTCTTGCCTCTTATTGATAGTTGTATGTCCTTTTTCATGCTGATATAGTTTGCAGTAAGTTCCTCTTAGTTTCCCTATAGTTTTTTGTAATTCTCTCTGAGCTCACTGAGCTCATTGAGCTTCCATAGAACCATTGTTTTGAAATCACTATCTAATAGTTTACTTTGCCTCTATTTCATTTAGTTCTCTTTCTGGGGATTTCTCCTTTCCCTTCAATTGGGGTGGTGTTTCTTTTTCTTCCCATTATTTGTGAGACTCTTCTTTTTTGCTTCTGCTTTTTAAATTGATCTGTCTTGACTTCCTGACTTTGTGGTGTCAACTTCTATGGTAGGAGACCAATTTTTTTTCCCCCTTCTTTCTGGATCTTCCTCTGATGATGTCAGCTATTGACAACCATGTGACCTTAGGCAGTCTTTTTTTTTTTTTTCATGGTTAATAGGGTTTTTTTTTTTAAGGGAAAAAAGTTCTACAAACCTTTAATCAATAAATGGATAAAGAATACCAAAAAGTCATTTAAACCTTTTTTAAAAAAAATAATAGAAATAGGCAAGAAATATATTAAAACAGGTTTAGTTTCAACAAATAGTAAAGGAACAATTAAAATAACATCATTGTTACAATCAGGTTAATGAGTATTAAAAATATTGGTAATATCAAGTATTGGCAATTGTAAAAGGAACTGGGTATTCATAGAAACTTTTTCTTCATCTTAAAGCAGTCCATTTAGCATATTTTGCAGTGCTGGTTTGGTGGAGGTGTATTCTTTTAGCCTTCTTTTATCTGGGAAACTCCTTATTTTACCTTCCGTGTTAATTGAGAGTCTTGCTGGGTAGAGCAGTCTTGGTGGCAGGCCTTTGCTTTTCATTCCTTGGAATATTTCTTGCCATTCCCTTCTGGCTTGCAGGGTTTCTGTTGAGAAGTCAGATGCTAGCCATATTGGGGCTCCCTTATATGTTACTACCTCTTTCTCCCTTGCTGCCTTTAGGATTCTCTGTTTGTCTTTGATATTTGCCATTTTAATAATGATGTGCCGTGGAGTGGGCCTCATTGGGTTCCTCTTGAATGGGACCCTCTGTGCTTCCTGGACTTGTGTGTCTTTTCCTCTCCTCCAAATAGGGAAGTTTTCCATCATTACTTTTTCAAACAGGTTCTCTATCCCTTCCTCATCCTCCTCTGCTTCTGGTATCCCTATTATATGGATATTATTACGTTTCAGGTTGTCCGACCTTAGGCAGTCTTTAACAGACTTCCAGGAATCTACTGTTTTCGTCTGTCTCATCTAGTTGTTAATCTTTTTATAGATACCTCTTGCCTATGATATCTTTTGCCACATAACTTAGTGATTCAAAACAATTATCATTGTGCCACCAGTTTCGCTCAGATGGTTGGGTGTCCTTCCATAAAGCTATGGATCGCTGGTTTCATTCCTGGTCGGGGCACATGCCTAGGTTTTGGGTTCAGTCCCCAGTCAGTTGGGGCGTGAACTGGAGGCAGCTGATTGATCTTTCTCACATCAATATTTCTCTCCCTCTCCTCCCCTCTCTCTAGAAATATGTAAATAGAAAAAAAAAGGAATCATTTAATTATCTCTCAGTTACTGTGGTTAAGGAATTCAGGAAGATCTCAACTGGGCAGTTCTAGCTAGAGCTCCCATATAGTTGCAAACTGATGATGTCGAGCTGAAACAATGATGGGGGTGGGGTTGGTTAGCGCAGCTGGGGGCTGGTTGTGTATCTCTCTCTTCCGATAAGCTCAGGTCTCTCCCTAAGTGGGTGTGGTCACCCATCTAGACTAGTTTGGGCCTTTTTACAAAATGGCAGGTTCAGGTAGTCATCATAATGGTTACATGCTGGCCGAAGTCTTCAGGGGTGAGAGTATTCCAGCAAGGGGGCACCAAACTGCCTTGCTCTTTATGACCTAGCCTTAGAGGTCACATAGCACCATTGCATTTGTACATTGGTAATTAAAATAGCCCCACCTAATTTTAAGAGGAAGGGATGTAGATCCTACCTCTGGATGGAAGTGTCAAAGTACTATTTTAAGAGCATGTGGAATGGGAGATAATTGTTAACAGCCATCATCTCCAATTGTAGATTTATTTCTGTCAGTATTTCTGTCAGGTTTTTTGTTTTGTTTTATTTATTTTGTGACTGTATCTTTAGGTGCCAAAAAATTACCTAGTTAAATCTTTCTGGTGATGTAAAGCATTTAATTACATGAAGTGGACCACTTCTGTTTCAGTTCTTTTAGTGTTACCCTGGAAATTACAACAGGCATAACTAACTTATCAGTCTCCAAAGTTGATTAATACACGTACCCTCCCCCTCAACAATGCCAGGCCTTTCACCCATTTACCTCTCCTCACAATTTATATGCTTTTGTCAGCAGACACTTTAATGTATACTCTACCTTTATTTAAATTTAACAATATGTTTTATTTTCTTTTTTAAAAAACTATCAATGTATATTCATATTGTCAATATAGACACAGTCAAACCTGTAGAGAATTTTTGTGAGTTTATTTGAGCCAAACTGATGACAATTGCCAGGAAGCAAAACCTCAACCAGTTGAGATGACACTCCGAAGAATGGCAGTTTTGTACCTTATTTTATACATTATAATAAAAGAGGAGTCATAAGTGGGTTACATGAAATCCATTGGTGATAGATTAGGGAGGTGAGAGGAAGCAAAGTGGGGAAACCTCTGGGATTGGATAAAAAGGAAAATGATGGACGCATCTTTTACATAGGTGGGTACAGGATAGTAACAGTTAACAATTTACATGATAACAATAACAATGAAGGGATTTGTGATCTCCCCCTAGTTCAGTGCCTGTGCTTTGAGGGGTCTGGAAAAAGGAAATTTGACATTCCAAAGGTATGTTATTATAGATGCAAAAAGACAACAGACAGGCTCAGTTAAGGTAGAGATCAGCCTTTGTCAGGGGAAACGTGCCGGCCCAGGACATGACTGCCGCCATGACCTGCCTTTAGTTAGGGTAGGTTGCTAGGCTGAGCGTGTGCCCCATTTCTTCCACAACACTTACCCAGGTATTTACTGCTTCCTTTGCTTTTCTTTCCTATTTCATCTCACACTTCACATTTTCCTCCTGATGAAGCACCTACTTAAGAATTTACAGCTGGTGGTCAAGTCCCTTAGTTTTCATTTGTCGGAAAAAGTTTGAATTTTTCCTTTGTTCTTGAAGAATAGTCTTGTTGGCAGAATTTTGAAGATGAAATTCTGCTGTCCTCTGGCTTCTATTTTTTCTCTCTGAGTTTCTGTTCTCCCTTTAAGTTTTGGCCTGGGAATTCCTATTTTTCTTGTCCTTTTGTGCTTTTATGAAGGTTTTATAAGTTATTTTATCTAGCATTTTTAATTGTTTTCAGCAGCAGGATTAGCATAGATAATTTAACCCACTGTTGCTAGAAACTACAAGTCAGTATTGTTTTTATTTTGAAATTTTTATGGAAATGAAGACAACTGATTCTTTTCAATGCCTAAGACCCTCTAAAGTTGTAATATCACCAACTGTGTTATTGTTGGATCAGTTGTAGGCTGTTAACCTGAATAGCTATTGATGAATAAAGGGGAGGGTCCTGGATCTATTAACCTTTCTTCCTCAGATCTTTATTGCGCAAATTTCTTCATAGTAGAGTTCTATAACTTTTTTGGCACATGGTACTTAGTATTTCAGAACCCATATCTTAAACCCATAAGATAAAGGATATCTTATCTGAGTTACATGCTTAATGTCTTTTTAGTACGAAAAGAAATGTTAGACTCTCCTTGATAGCTATGGACTATTATGTCAGTTGAACTGTTCTGAAAAGTTAACATATGTGAAAGGATATTTATTTTTTTCACTTAAGAAAGACTAGGTATTACATTCTGTTTCTTCATTATGTTCTGAACAGTATATCTCTTGACAATCTGAAAATAATTCAGGAGGTCAGAGCTCAGTAAACCTAAATTCAAGTATAGGGTGAGGATGTGCATTGTTTGCCTTATGTAGATAATTATTTTAGGCTTTTAAGACAAAGTAATTTGAAAGTAATGTGGCTGGTATGCACATCTTTTTGAACGGGTCACCAATCTCGTGACATTCCAGTGAGAGATGTGAACAAACTTTGCCTTTGTCCAGAAAAGTGCAATATATGAGTGCACAAAATACAGAAGTTTGCACTTTTTACAGCCTTTTGAACTTCATGCATGAACTGTAAGCACCCCTCCTTAACTCAACAAGAAAGGTCCCTGTCCAGAGGCTTCCTTTAGGAACATAGTCTATTATGGGCAAAGTCAAGATTTCTATTTCTATCCAGCTTCCCCATGAATATGGATATCAGTGCCCACCTAGCTATTTTGATCACGTGGACAGACTTGTGAATGTGTTTTGGATTCTGCACAATTCACATTCATTGCAGAGAAAAAAACTCAGAAGTGTTTGCTTACTTCTGGGGAGTGAATGTCACCATTTTTATATATGAAGGAAAATATGTTATTGAAATTCTAACCAAATATTCTTTCTTTTTTATTGAAGCTGTTTCCCCTGCCTCTTCTCTACGTTGGAAACCACATAAGTGGATTATCAAGCACAAGTAAATTAAGGTAGAATGCAGGGTAATGGTTCTTCACTTGTTTGCTTCTAATGATATAAAGGCCACATTCAATTTTTCAAGATACTGCTTGGGCTACATATAGAACACAATAATATTTAATAATTTGTAAAATAAGATAGAGTTTTGGGTTTAACTTGTTAGTGCTTTTAGAAATGTTAAAAAAACTGTTTTTTTCTTCTTTTTTTTGTTTATGTTCAAGTCTGACCATAGAAAGTGAGATCTCTAGGATCAAGATACCTGCGGGGGGCGCGATTTATTCAGGAAGAACCATTTATATAAGTGTAGTTCTGTGTAACTTGGTTTCATCACAGTTTTAGAAAAGCAGAAACATTCTGTCATTTGGTACAGGTCATATTTGGTACAGGGAAAAAGAAATAGCAGACATTATCTTCAAGTGTGTGCTATATACTTCTACAATTTTCATTTAAATTTATTTCAGAGTCCCTTCATTGACTACATTTGTTAAAAGTAACTATAAAATATAAAAATGGAAGTGTAGAAAGACCCAACCATCCTATAAATCAGGACACTTGGTATGAAATATGTAGCCTAATGAACACACATCAGAGTCACTAATCTTATTTCAAAGATGTAAATAATGAAGTTTGTACAAAGAGTGACAAAAATGGAGGAGAACCGGCTTGAATAGTGAGAATGGAAAAGAGGCAGGTACAAGGTAGGCCAGAAGGAGAAGGACATATAAAACAGAGAAGGATGAAATTTGGCCTGTTGCCTTTCTCTTGTTTAGAAAGGAAAGGACAGGTGTGCTTATGAAAGAAATGTGAAATACTGTTTTCAGTTACACATATTAGTTGGTTTGTTGTTTTCTTATCTGATCAGGGCAATAATTTTTCCTTAATTACCTCAAATTTGTTTTAAAGCTTCCTGTGGTAGATGTTATTGCTGTGTTACCATGTATCCTTTTGGCCTTTCTCTGAGTGGTCTGCAGGCCTGCGGGCCTGGGTGGTGCCCTCAGTTAACAATGACAGCTGGCCACCTCTCACATTGCAGGTCTCTGCCTCCCATATGAGGGCCTTTTTCTTTTCCTTTTTTTTCTTTTTTAGTGATCCTAGTGGAAACTTGTTTTGTAGAAACATTCAATTTGTTGGGGGTAATACTGGTTAATAACTTTATATACATTTTGGATGTACAACTTTATAGTACAACATCTATATACGCTCTTGTACACTTACCTGCTGATGTCTAGTTTCCTTCCTTCACCATATATTTGACTCCCTTTACCCTCTTTGTCCTCCCCTAGACCCCTTTCCCCTCTGGTAACCACCATTCTGTTGCCTGTATGTATGAGGGTTTGTTTTTTTTTTTTTACGATTTTGTTTATTTTTTTTTAGAGAGATGAGAAGGGAGGGAGAGAAACATCAAATGATTACCTCTCACATGCTCCCAACCAGGGACCTGGGGCACAACCCAGGCATTTGCCTTGTCCTGGAATTGTAGGGGCAACTTTTCACTTTGCAGGATGGCACCCAACCATCTGAACCACACTGGTCAGGGCGGTATCTATGAGTTTTTTGTTTGTTAATTTTGTTTCTTCATTTGTTGTTTTTTTTTTGTTGAAAATATGAGTGAAACCATATGGTTCTTTTCCTTTTCCACCTGACTTATTTAACTTAAGATTTCTCCATGTTGTTCCAAGTGGCAGTATTTTATCTTTATTTATGAATTAGCATTATTTCGTTGTGCATATGTGAAGGGGAGCAGCCTCTGTCTTGCGGAGCCGCTCCGGATCGCTCCGGATGGAGAAATAAAATAAGTCGTTCCAGACGTTTCTCAGTCTGCCAGGGAAAGGGGCTGGCAATCCCCTCTAGTGGAGAATGCCCTGAGCCCCTGTGTTGAGTGGCTTTTTCTGAAAGGGTTATCAATGGGGACTAGGTAGTAGGAATGTACAGGTATTCTCATTACATCAATATGTTAATGTTTACAGAGAATAGATGATGTTTTGAAGAAAACAAATGGCAGGAACACACCGATTTACAAGGGTCCGAGATGAGTAAACATAAGAGCGCCAAGTGGTTTAGGGTCAGGGTCTGTGAATAATGTAAATTTCCTTCCCAGCGTGAGGCGGTTGTCATAGCTTTGAGGGCAGAACACAGCATGCTTCAAGTAATTTACTTCACGGCCTGATTTCCCCGCAGGAACCGTCTGATCCAGTCTAGGGCTGCCTCTAGTATTGTTTCAAGCCTTAGCCAGGCGGGTGCAGCAGACTAGCCAAGAGATAAGGAGACTTCTTTCAGATAGAACAGGGACTCCGGCCATATCAAAGCTGAAGGGTGAGGGTCTTTTGCCCCTTCTCCGTGTCCCCCAAGTCCTTCCCTAATGGCCCCCATGGGACTGTGCCTGTCTTAGGTTGCCCCTGCCATCGAGGGGTCTTACCCATCATTGACTGACCAGCCATCCTCCAGGACTAAGCAGGGTGAATGTGAGGGAAGCAGGGGCTGCACCCCTGCCAGGGGGACAGGTTTTGTCTCCTCAGTGGCCTATTTTCCCAAGGCCCCCTCGCTCAGCTCCAGCCTTAAGGCATTTTCGCCATTGGAAAGGCTACAGTTCCTGAAACCAGGCGGGACAGTTCCCAACATATATGTACCACATATTCGTATCCAGTCATCTGTCAAAGGACATTTAGATAGTATCCATGTCTTGGCTATTGTAAATAATGCTGCAATAAATGTAGGAGTAAAATATATATATTTATGAGTACGCATTTTCAGTTTTTTTCAGAAGATATCCAGAATAGGGGTTGTTGGGTAGCATAGTAGGTGTATTTTTAATTTTTTGAGGAACCTCCGTACTGTACCAATTTACTTTCCCACCAGCAGAAAAGAGTCTTTTCAACAAATGGTGCTCAAACAATTGGACATCACACAAAAAATTGAATCTAGACACAAGCTTTACATCTTTCCCAAAAATTAACTTTAAAATGATCATATACCTAAGTATAAAATGTAAACTATAAAACTTCTGGAAGAAAACTTAGGAGTAAATCTAGATGATCTTGGGCTTGGCAATGAGCTTTTAGACACAATGCCAAAAGCACAGTCTATGAAAGAAAAAAATGAAAGCAGAACTTCATTAAAATTTAAAGTGTCTGCCCTGAAAGAGTGTTAAGAGAACGAAAAGACAAGCCACAGACTGAGAGAAAATATTTGCAAACACGTATCTGATAAAAAACTTGAATCAAGCAAATGAAAATTTATGAGTTCATGACAGCAAAAAACAAAAACAACTCTCATTGGTTACCAGTGAAGATGACACACTATTATTTCTCTGAACATTTAAAAATGATGCTCTTATCCTGCCTTTCCTATGTGAAATGGTGAAAATTTGTATTTATTTAAGAAGTTTACACAATAAATACAGAAGGGGTAACATAGGTAAAAAAAAAAATCACCATTTTGCAACTTGCAGTGAAATAATGGGTCTAGATAATAATCATCAATGTATACTAAACCTATTAGGTGAAAAATTGATGTTCCCCTGTCCCAGCATCATTTGTTCAAAAGACTGTTCTTTCCTTGTTGTATTGTCTTGGCACCCATGTTGAAAATAATTGACCATTATTGTAAGGATTTATTTCTTGATTATCTATCCTATTCTATCGATTATAGGAGTGTGCCTGTCCTTAAACCAGTGCTTACTATTGTAGCTTTGTATTAAGTTTTGAAATTGGGTCTACCAACTTTTTTCTGCTTTCTTTCTTTCTTTTTCTTTAATGATATTTTTTTGCTTGTGTCTCCCCTTTATTCCCTTCCACCCTACACCGCCCCATCCCCCTGTTTTCCGCTCCCCATCCCTCCCACTTAGTTCATGTCCATGTGTCATACATATAAGTTCTTTGGCTTCTCCATTTCTTATACTCTTCTTAACCTCCCCCTGTCTATTTTGTACCTACCAATTATCCTTCTTATTCCCTGTACCTTTTCCCCCATTCTTCCCCTTCCCCTATGTTTTACTGTTCATAGTTTTTTATTTTCTTTTTCTTAGATAAGTCCCTTTGACATTTCATATAGTAAGAGCTTGGTGATGATGAACTCCGTTCACTTTACATCCTCTGGGAAGCCCTCCCATTCTAAATGATAGCTTTGCTGGATAGAGTAATCTTGGATGTAGGTCCTTGCTTTTCATGACTTTGAAAACTTCTTGCCAGCCCCTTCTTGCTTTCAAGGTTTCTTTTGAGAAATCAGCAGATAGTCTTATGGGAACTCCTCTGTAGGTAACTATCTCCTTTTTCTCTTTCTGCTTTTAAGATTCTCTCCTTATCTTTAATCTTGGGTAATATAATTATGATGTGCCTTGGAGTGTACTTCCTTGGGTCTATCTTCTTTAGGACTCACATTTCTTTGTCTCAGCACTCTTGTTATACTGTGAGGGGCAGAGCCCTAGGTATTCACCAGGGTGGGGCAACTCATGTCTCTGTGTTATGACACTGTATATGGGGGAGGTGTCAGAGAGGAAACAGTGCCACTTGCTCAGTTCTCAACTGGGTTTTAGTCACTTCCCCTGCTACCCACAAGCAAATTGGGCACTTCTGGTGCTGATATCCAGGTGGGTGGGTTTATGTACATTCTAGGACCCTATGCATCTCTCCAGTGTACTCTCCTATGAGGCTGGGTGTTTTTCTTGCCACTGCAACCCCTATAGGTTTTTACAGCCAGAGGTTTCTTTTCCCACTCTGGAACCCTAGGTTTCGCGGTCTTTCTTGCTCTTCTGTTCCTACTGGTTTATCCACACGCAAATGTGGGACCACTAGCCACTCCCAGTCCTCCAGCTGCTGCCTTGCCACACATCCTCTCCACCCCAACTGCCCATCTCTGCCCCTCCTACTGGTCTGAATTGGTGTTTCTTCTTTCACTCCTTGGTTGTCAGACTTCCATACAGTTCAATTTTCTGGCATTTCTGGGGTTTTTTTTTTTCTCTTAAATTTCTTGTCCTACTTTTGGTTGTGTGAGGAGGCAAAGTGTATCTATCTATGCCTCCATCTTGGCCAGAAGTCCGAAAATCACCAGCAGTAATTTTGATGGGGATTGTGTTGAATCTGTTGGACTGCTTTGGGGAATATTTCCATTTTAATGACATTATGCCTTCTGACCCATAAACATAAGAATGTCTTGTCACTTAATCATCTTTACCCTTTTAACAATATTCTGTAGTTTTTAGTGTATGAATCTTACATTTCTTTTCTTAAATTTATTCCTAAGAATTTTTTTCTCTTTGATGCTATCATAAGTGGAATTGTTTTAATCTCTTTTAGGATTACTCATTGCTAATGAATATTAGTAGAGCTGATTTTTGTATATTCATTTGTTTCTGGCATACTTCTTTAACTCATTAGTTGTAATAAGTTTTATACATTTTTAAATACAATTTATTTATTTATTTGAGAGAGGGGAAGGGAGGGAGAAGGAGAGGGGGAGAAGCATCGATGTGGGAGACAAACATCAATGTGATAGAGAAGCATTGAATAGTTCCCTCTTGCACATGCCTGACTGGGACTGAACCCAGAACCCAGGCATGTGCCCTGGCCAGGAATCGAACCGGCAACCTTTCAGTTTGTGGGACAACACCCAACCAACTGAGCGACACTGGTCAGAGCTGTAATAATTTTTAAATGAATTCCTTAGGCTTTTCTATATATATCATCTGTATATAAAGGTAACTTTATTTCTTCCTTTCCAAACTGTGCTTCCCCCCGCCCCCTTGCCTAATTGCCTTGTCTAGAACCTCAAGGACAATGGTGAATAGACTTAATGGTGAGAGAGACCTTCATGGTCCTATTCTTGGTCTGAGGAGGAAAACATTTAACTTTCGATTATTAAGTATATCTTACCTGCTTTTAAAAGACATTATCTAAAAATATTTTTTAAAGTTAATTGAAAGCAGCAAGGCTTTTATTTGACTACTCTGACTAAGGCAATTCAAACAAGTCTCATCTCTTTTTCTTTTTTATTTGAAGCTGTTTATTAAGAAACAAAAGACCCAGAAAGAACCTTTGACCCTCCCCTCTTTCCTGCCCAAGAGATTAAGCTCTCATAAGAAATCTTTCAGTGTGGACATAAAGTTCCTGAAAATCCTTTCCACACTTGGTCTCTGGTTGTAGTGCCACTGTTAATGTGAAATCTCTCCTCAGGTCTGGTCGGGAGGAGCTGGCCACTCCCACTCTGGGTTGTGGTTCTGACTTTCCTTCCCAAGGCCACCATCTCCTGAGGGTCACATCTGGAAGCAGGTAGAGGTGGACTGTTCCAGCCCTGGCAGTCTGTTGGCTGTACATTGATCTGTGTCCTGGAATCTCCGGGGTTTAAGAGTTGGTAAAAGTAGTTTTTTAAAGCACTGAATGTAGCCTCATTACATGAAATTTTGAAGGAGAAATCACTGGTAATTCTCTCTGCTAACACACTATTTTAAATATTTATTTTTAGTCTTTTTTATCTACAGAATATGCCTTGTTACAGTTGTAGACTCTACATAATTTTATATCTTCCTTGTTTTAATTAATACTTATTTTCTAATAGTAGTAGAGTTATCATATATGTTTCCTCAGTGTATTTATCATAATTTATTTAACCATCGTTTCGTTGTCTGACATTTTGTTGTTTCTGATGTTTTTTCCCAAAGATACTACTGCAGCGAACAATTTTGTGCACATGGTTTTGTTTTTTCTTTGGATTATTACTTAGGATACGTTTGCCAACAAGAAGTAATTAGGTCCAGGGTTAGGCACATTTAATGACTCTTGATATATAGCGCCAATTTGTTTTGCCAAAGGGTGTATTGGTTCACATCGTGTACTAGTTTAGCACAATTTTGTAGTAGTTGGATATTGTTGTTTTAAATAGCTAATAGGTGAAAGCGACATGAGATTATTTAATCTTCTGTTTTTAAATTATTTAATGTGATTTGTAAGTAGCATACATGAGAATTAGGTTAATTCTTCATATTTAATTTGGAAAATTAGTGGCTTAATTAAAAATGTAAAACAGGTTAAAAATTTTTTTGGTGCCTGATGGTATTCTACTTAAATCTTTTCCTGACAGCTTGCCGATGTTCACAGTGCTCAGGAAATTTACCATTCCACTTACTTTACTCTTGGAAACCATAATACTCAGGTGATTTTTGTTTTTCTTCTGTTCCTCTGATGTCCTCTTTCCCCTTTCCTGCAGTATTTTTACATAGCAAATTCTCAACGTCTAGTCTTCTTTCCAAATAGTTGATTTGAATTGTTAGTAGCAATAACTTAAGGACAAATAGTTTGTTAACTTAAAAGCAGCCTCCTGTTTCCATGATTCCCTATGAACTTAATGAGTGAATTTTTAATTATAATTTTACATTAGACAAATAATACATGTTGGTGTAGAAACTTATTTTTTTTAAAACCAACAACCCTTAAACAGGTATAAATGTTTCCTTAGCCAGGTGGCCTATACACTGATTTTGGAACACAGGAAAAATTGTCCATGTGTACATCTAGGCTAGGAGGGGAGACAATCAGGGAAATCCATTCTGATGCAGTGATAATGATGGAACATCAGAATACTTATTTTTATAATGTTGGGTTAGAAATTTTTCATAAGGATACTCAGGCTGACATCCAAAAAGGTAATTCCTGATTTTGCTGTGAAGGTAATTTAGCAATGAATTTGGATGATGGCCCAATTTTATCTTAACCTTTGGATGCTTGATTTATAAGTATGTACCAACTAGACCTACCAGCAAGAGCTGTTCTGCATTTTGTCTCGGCGTCTCTCTAGTGAGAACAGAGAAATACATTCATAATTAGATTAAGGCAGTTCTTAAGTAATGCAGTAAATTTGGTCCAATTTACTAATCTCCTTACAGATACTTTTAATGTGTTCCCTAGGTAAAGCATTATTCATTTGACTTTAGCTATAAAACTGTTAGCAATGTTTATATTCAGTTTGTTTTTAAAATATGTTCTATCTTTTTTTACTCTCTTGCTTCATTGGTCTGTCTGTCTCTCTCTCGACCCATCTGTGTATTTATTACAGGAAACAATATTCCTCGGACATCATTGTCAGTGTCTTTGCCATCATTCTCGGTGCTTTCATAGCAGCTGGGTAAGACTTTGGGCAGTTTCTGCTCAATAACTTCTTTGTGTCTTTGACAATAGGCCAAGCCTCGTACTCATTTTTTATTTTCCTTCTGGCTGCTGTTGAACTGAGCAGCCAAGAGACAACCTGTTGGTGTTAGGGAACCTCCCTGTGTTCCTGTGAAAGGCAAACTGGATTCCATGTTAGCCGGAACATTTCTGAGAATATATAAAGAGAGCATTATAACATGTGAATATAACATCTCTTCATAAAAAAGGAATGAACTATTTACTTTTATTACTGAATATTTGTCTTCAGTATAAAAATTTTACTTGAAAACTTCTTAGGCATTTGATTAAGAAGAGTAACAGATTTATTAAGCTCTTGAATGCTGACTTGTTTTATCGTCCTGTGATGCCTTAGCGGTTAGTGTTTCCAAGGCAGAACACTCTCATGAAATATCTTGCAATGTTTGGGACAGGAGCCCACAATACCAGTGCATGACTAATACCTTACTCACTAATATGCAAGACCAGGAATGAGAACTCCAAGTCTGCATTTGAAGCAGGCATTCAGACTCCTATTTTTTATAGCATGGTGTTTACAGCATGTGGGCAGTTACAGTCCCTGGGTTTAAAACTTAGTCTTGCCTCCATCAGTTCTTTCTCAGCCTACCTGTGCCTCAGTGTCTTCATCTATAAAGATTATAATAGAAAAGAAAAACCAACTTGAATGAAGGGAAGAAAGAAAAGGTTAGAGGAATTCCAGTTAAACTAGTGTCGTCATTTAGAAACGGCAGTTCTGGATCATTACTTGCAAATTAAATAAGGGTGTGGGCTACAGTGCCAGGATGTCTGGGATTTTATTCTGGCCGCCTCCCTTACTGGCTGTGTAAACAGGGACAAGCTATTCAACCTCCCTATGCCCGTTATTTCAACTGTAAAGTAGAGATTAGAATACCATCCACCTAATAGGCTCCTCGTGAGAAGTAAATGAGGGAATAATAAACTAGGATTTACACTAGTGTGTGGCCAAGGTCAACAAAAATGTATTGAGTGTTCACTGTATGCCAGGCATCATTCCGGGTGCTGAGGAATCTACCAGTTAACAAAACAGACAAGATTCCTTGCCTTCATGGTGCTTCCATTCTATTTGATGGACAGACAATAACCCAAAGAAATAGACTTAAAAATATAGCAGACCAAATGGTAACAGACAATAAGTTTTATTATTATTATCATAGTAAATGTACAGACCACAGTTTATTAGTGGTGTTTTCATGTGTATCTTGCTCCTCCCCAGTCCAGCTGAGGCTGAGTTCAGCCCCTTGGAGGCTGGCCCCTGTGTCAGCGCTGTGTTCCCTCATGTGTTCATGGCACAGACATGAAGCAGAAGTACTCAGAGCCTGTTTTAGTCATGAAGACATTTGCTCAGACAAAATCAGATGAGTGAAGTAGCTAAGAAAGGGAGGTGCCCTGTTGTAAGTTCCCTCCCTCCATGGCACTCTGGGGATCACCCCCAGGCAGCCTCTCTCTCCTGCATTTCTTTGAGCTCAATTTGAAATCCATTGACTTAGAGCCAGTTGAAGACTTTTACAAAAAAATGGTTTATAAACATGTCTGTAAGTCTTTGGTGAGGAATAGCACTTCAGGGGCTGTGTGTGTGTGGAAGCATGTTCCAGGACCAGTTAGTAGAAATTCAGCTCATAGTTGACATATATGATGCTCTAATGAGCTGGAAGGGTAGCTGGCATTACCTAAGAGCCAGCTTGCAATAGTGATTCTTGACTTTCCCCTCTCTCAGCACCCACAGAATGGAGAACATCCTCGTGAGTGACAAGTACAGACAGTTCCTAGCTGTAGGCCAGCTGAGGCCCTAACCTTCCGTCCTGTCACTGAAATTAACTCATCCAAATGCAAGTAATCCTAGAATGGACTCAGTTCAATCAGCCAGTTAATGCTGCTATTACAAACAGCCCCCACATTTCATCTTGATGGTTTAGCATATCAAACGTATTCTGCTCACACCACACATGCAAACCAATACCATTTAATGTGTGTGCTCTACTCAGTGTAGCTGCTCAGAGATTCAGGTTGATGGGACCCTGCCTCAAAGGGAGCTTCTTACTCATCCAGGCTGGAAGGGGGGATATGGGAAATTGTGCACTCACTTCTGCAAGCTTTGGCCCTGAAGTGAGGTGTTAATTCTTCTTAGACTTTATTTGCCCAAGTCACATGTCCAGAAAAAGTTGAAGTAGAATGTCTAAACAGCCCTAAATGACAACCATATTTAACCACAAGGGTTAACCATGAATCTGCTCATTTATAAACAAGTAAATTCTTCTCAAACTTCTGTGCTTTCACTACTGGCTTAACCAAATGCTGTTTGGAACTGCCCTGGCCCCAACTGCTCACCCCCACAATCCCCAGAGAGAGACCTGAGAATTCTGGGGATTTCCTTCAGGCTCTCTGAGGAAGTGAGCAACACCTCCCTTCATTCCTCTAGAAACCTGGCTATTTTGCTTTTTCTACTCTTTGCCAGTTAAGGGAATGGCCAACTTTCAATCACTGAGCCTAATGTGAGTACGCGGGAGGTTTGAACCCTTGTTTTGAGAGATTCTATTTCTGTGAGTGAGCCGCAGAATTCTGATTTGTGATCTAAAATTAACCTACATTCTCACAAATATATTTGTAGATAATAATGCCAGTGGTAGCTTTAAGCAAAATGTGGTTTAAAGTGTGTTCTGATCTTGATGCAGTTTTTGCCTCTCTCTGCTTTTCTCTTTGGTTAGAAATTATCTTATTTTGATATTGAAGAGGGGACCAGGATATGCTGCTCCAAAATATGAAGCTTTGGCACAGACATTGTTTTGAGCTGAAGGCAATTGAGAATCAACAGATGTAGGAATTCTCTGCCCTCCCTTTTCTGCCTAAAAGCAGATCATAAATTTCTCTTTGTGAAGGTGTCCCCTTTCCTGGACCAGGAAATAGGAAAGCAGTTCTTATCACCAACAGTGAGAGTCAATATAAACAGACCTTACTAAAATAATCCTTATCTTCCATTAGTTTTCCCAATATATTTCCTAGTCCCTTGCCCATAATTTATTTGTTCCTCAAAACCTAAATCCTCTTTGTTAAAATGGTATATAAGCCATAGAATCTAACAACTTGAGTTTTACTTTGCATAAAATATTTACTACAGTTTGTGTGTGTGTGTGTGTGTGTGTGTGTGTGTGTGTGTGTGTGTGTGTTTTACTGTTTACCTATCTATTGTCAGTTCAATTCACAGATCTCCAGTCACTGAACTTAAGAGGGTAGAGGACACCTCCTTGGCAATGTATATTATGAATTATGACATGGGTCTTATACTGTCTGCGGGGTCAAGTGCAGGTGGATGACACATCTTGGCTGAGCTGTTGTTCTGTGTTTCCTCCCCATGTCACAACCCCCCAAATATTTTTATACTAGTATTATTTATTTAAGTAAAAATTGAAGAGAAGATGTTTCACAAGAATGGGAAGAAGGGAGCCTTAGGAGGAGTTGCAGGGAAGGAATGGCTTCCTCTGCCTTTTTGATGGACAGGGAATTCTGGTGGATGATGTGACTGTTTGGACACCAGATGTACGTGTCACTTTCTCAAATGACCCCTCTTGCCCCAGTCACTGCCCAGCTGTCTCTGCAGGGCTGTACCCTGCCGATGGCCCTATTTACTATAATAAGGAACTGCCACTGGCTATGTTAAATAAGTCATTCCCTTAGAAACGCAGAGCTCACCAATTATTATGCCAGTTTATCAGTTAGCAAAAGAAAGGGCTTTGCAGTTAAAAGAAGATGGTTAATGTCCTCTGGTTCTACGCCACTCAAGATTAAGTTCAAGCCATGAATGACTTGGTTTTGTTTTTGCCTGGAGGCAAAGCAGAGGAATTAACCATTCACCAAGACTGAGGGGGAAACTATACTAGAGAAAAGTAGTTACTAGCGTCACAAATGGATTTGATTGGGGAACGATGAAACGGGCAGAGCTTTGAGGCCAAGATGTGAATTTCTGAATAATCATCCTGTTCTGTTGTCCCTCCCAGTTCCGACCTTGCCTTTAACCTGGAAGGTTATATTTTTGTATTCCTGAATGATATCTTCACGGCAGCGAATGGAGTTTATACCAAACAGAAAATGGACCCAAAGGTACCATATATTCACTCTTACGTCTTTTAGGCTTTGTCATCTGCCCCCTGAAATTACATGAAAAAATAAAATGAATTTGTAAAGTTGGCATGTAATTTAATTTACATAATGTCACTAATTTCTTTTCAGTGATTTTGTCTGTAGAGTTTCTTGTTACTCCTTGTCTTTCAAAGTTTTGATTGCAAATTTGATAGGATGGGAAAAGATGCCACTCCTATTGATGCAAAATCAGAATATATAAAAGGGATTATTACGAAAAGCAAATTAAAATTAAAAGACTTTTTTTTTTAACCGCCATCATCAGTGACCAGTTTGAAGTCTGAGAGCAGCTCCAGCTTGAGAGTCTAGAAATAAGGGTTCCAGTTACAAGTTTTGCTGCTTACTGGCCGTCATTGTGACTTTGAACCTGAACTTCTACTAACCTCAGTTTCTTTATCTGTGGAATGAGATGTTTGGAGTGGGTGATTTATAAGGTCCTGTCCAGCAGTAACTGCCTCTCACAGACTTGGGGGATGGTGGGCAGATGAGCTTTTCTGCTGAGGTGCTGCCCCCAGCCCTCACCCCAACCCCAGCTGTTCCGGAAGTGCAGGAGGATGAGCCAGACAGACAGACGGTTCTTTGTACTAAGTTCTTTGTGTTAAGTGAGGGGTTTCCTCGGATGGACAGGCTTATTTCTATGAGCTGGGTTTTTTCTTTCTTTTTTTTTTTTCTGCTCAGCCATTTGTATTTTAATGGTGGAAGTTTTACAAAAACACTTTTGTTGCCTTTGAGAATCACAATATGTCACCCTTTATGGAAAGTGGTGGGGAAGTAGTGTTAGTGCTTTAATGAAAAGTAAATTTATGGAAGACTGCAAAATTAGATACCCAGCATTTTAACCCTGCTGTTCTTTAATAGAAAGAGCAGATATTTTTAAGAAGTTCTGTTCATATTAACATTTTTAAGTGTTTTTTATTTTGTTCCAAATTTTTCTATTTTGAAATGCATGCTTTAAAAACAATTAGAATATCAGAGAAGAGTGGAACCTTGGAGGCTACCCATCTCCATCTATTTTATCGGTCATTTTTGTGTTAAATAAATGTTTATTCTGAGATTACAGAATTCCTGAAAGGAAGCATTTTACATTAGAGATTTACTGAAGATATTCCAATGTAGAGTTAGTCAAGAAACATTTTGTAACTGCATAAATGTATAGTTTATAAGTGGAAATTTGATGCTTCATGTTCCTAAAATCAAGTGGGGTTTTCTCTGTTTTCGCAGGAGCTAGGGAAGTACGGAGTGCTTTTTTACAATGCCTGCTTCATGATTATCCCGACCCTCATCCTTAGTGTCTCCACGGGAGACCTTCAGCAGGTGAGCGGATGGCAGTCACTGCATTCTTACTCAGCAGTCTTTTACATAACAATCTTAATATTTAACCTTCAGCACTCACTGCAATACAACATGTAAAGGTTACTAGGGTTCCATGAGAGCAAGATATTTGATATCCCATGAATACCTTTGGCACTATCCTTTCGATTGGCATTTACCTTTAGACACCTGCGAGGTGGCAGGAAGTAGTCCCAAGAACTCTGGACTGCAAGCTTGTCGGAAAATGGCCACAAAAACCTGAGTTTGAGCCTTAATACCCTGTGTTGATATGGGGAGACTGGGAACATTACTTAACTTAGAAGGGGATTTTGACATTAAATAGTGAATTTATTTATTATTACCTTGATTATGGACATTTTAAAACATATGCAAAACAGAATAATTTAATGAACTCATGCACCCTTCCAGCTTCCACACTTTTTGGTATTTTGCCATTGATATTTCATCTCTCCTCTCTGCTCTCACTTTTCCCCCCACTGGAATAATTTAAAGCACGTTCCAGACATCATGCCATTTTGTCTCTAAATATTCCAGGATCTGTGCTTGAATTCTGAGAGAGTATTTTTCTTCTGGTATCTGCCCTGCTCCCTTGTGTGGGCACACCAGTGAGGGACAAATAAAGTGGTGAATTAATAGAAATATAGGTGGCCCAGCTGGAGAGAATGGAGGCCAGTCTCTCAGGAGAGGCCAGTGTGCACCCCAGGACACCAACAGCAGTCACCTTAAAGTGTGCCGGCTCTGCCAGCCCTGTTTCTTCAGGAAGTTGCTGGCCACACCACCTCTAGGAATGTTGCCTGTGTCTTAAGGGGATGTTTAAAGTCAAGTGAAAATCTAGGGTGTGGCCTCAGCCCACAGAACCAAAGCCCTGCGGCCTGTGGCAGAGGCCGGGCGGTCAGATAGGCCCTGTGCAGCAGCCGTTTTTCTCCCACAGGCAGCAGTTTCTGTGTGTTTAACAGTCGGCGTGGGTGTGTGGTGCACACAGGCTGAGAGTCAGTCCCATATGTAGCACTTTTTTTAAGAAAAAATATTTTTTTTATTTATTTTTAGAGAGTAGAAGGAGAGAGGGAAAGAAACACCAATGTGTGGCTGCCTCTTGCGCGCCCCCTGCTGGGACCTGGCCCGCAACCCAGACGTGTGCCCTAGACTGGGATTCAAACCAGCAACACTTTGGTTCTCAGGCCAGCACTCAGTCCACTGAGCCACACAAGCCAGGGCCCATTTGCAGCACTTTTATAGATTTGAAGGCTGTGGGTTTCTGGGGACTCCTGGGGGTAAATGTCAAGGCCTATTGTCCTTTCTCAAAACTGTACTTTCTCGCTTGTATATTTCCTCTCCAAAAAGCAGTGGACAGCAGAAGGGCTTAGCCACAGCATTCCTGGGTAAACAGCCATTTCCACGTGTTTCTATTGAAAATCACCCAGAAAGAGCAGGTTTGCTAATGAGCTCTCATTGTGTGAGCTGAGGCCTCCTGTAGTTCAGAGTGTTGGAAGGTAGAGCAGGCACCCACACCTCTCTATGAATAACATGCAGAGCAGGATATCAGAAAACACAATATTTACTTTTCAGCCCCCGTCAATTGATTTTAAAATGCATTTGGGGCTTTTAATTTTATTTTTTATTTATTTTTAATCCTTGCCTGAGGATATGTCTTGATTTTAGAGAGAGAGGAAGGGAGAGAGCAAGAGAGAGAAACATCGATGTGAGAAACACCAATTGGTTGCCTCCTCTACGTGCCCCAACCATGGATCGAACCTGCAATCTAATTATGGGCCCTGACTGGAAATCAAAAGGGAAGTTATGAACCCTCAGTGAAATAGTCTCTAACAGCTTGTCTCATTTCATTATCATAGAAATGAGGTTTTCTTTTGAAGTCAGTGGAGTGTATCTATTCTGAAATCCTGGTGTTTCAGAGCTGTTTCAGATATATATTTATTTCTAGAAATAGAAATCTAGGAATTCCCAGAAACTCTGTGAGTACCTGATGGAAACTAAAAGCATACTTCCCTGTAGGAATAATGTTATGAATGTCATGGTGACCAGAAACTTAATTTTAGTACCTTATGAGCAAAATAGGCTAAATAGTATGTATGTATTAAATGTGGTTATTTTCTCTTGCTAATCTGTGTCATGTCTATTTGGTTATTAAGCCAGCCAAAGGAACCTTGAGGATAAAGGAGAATTTGTTCCTCCACAGCAATGGATTCAGGACAAACTTCTTCCAGTCACTTTTGACCATGACTGCTTCCATGTTAGATTGTTCGCTAGATGCAATAAAAAAGCAAATTACTGTATATAGGTGTGTTAGTCTGCAATGTAAAATTGCATTTTACTTGCCAAGTTTGGCTTGATTGTACCAGAAGTTGATGGATGAATTAAACTAAATGTTAACTTCTCTTCTTGGTGGAAGGAGCACTTCGATGAGTTATAGGGGAGGTTCACAGGAGAAGGTCAGAGATTGTGTTAGGACTCGGTGTGAGTCACTGTACTGGGGGTTCACTCCTGGACCTTGAACTTACACAGTTGGTAGATCTAATAGCACTTTGATTCTATCTCTGATTAACAGTTAGTGATTGTTAACAAAATAGGCCTCTGGAAAACATTCAATAGGTGAACTAAAGTCATTTGAATCATTGAATTATAGAATCAAAGCACATTTATTTTTTTTATTAAAGGTTTATTTAAAAATTCAATTACAGTTGACATACATATTATATTAGTTTCAGGTGTACATCATAGTAATTAGACATTTATATTACTTAAGTGATTACCTCAACAAGTCTAGTATCCATCCACCTAACACCATGAGCAGTTATGACAATATTATTTACTATATTCTCTGTGCTGCACTTTACATTCCCGTGACTGTTTTTATAACCAGCAATTTGTCAAAGTACATTTAGTGTATTACAGTTGATGAATAGGGGTAAATATGACTTTTTGCTGATTAAAAATCCATAAATGCAAAATGAAAATGATTCACATACCAGCATATGTTTACAGCAATAATAAGTCTAAAGGAAAAAGTACTGTTATTGTTATTCATCTTGAATTATTTTCTGTTTTAAAATAAATGTCATGCTATATTATTTTTTAAAATGCTACTCACACAGCCTCATCATTAGAGAGACAAAATAAAGCTGAAATCTGTCAAACTTTAGGTTGGCAAAGAATCCAAAGGTTTATGAAATTACTTCATTGCCCTCTATGGTTTATGTGGTATCAGGAACATATAACTTTGATTTACTGTTTACTTGGTTTAAGTTTGTGTTGTATGGTTTTCTACTAGTTTCAATTCTATCTGACTTTCAGACGCAGAGTGTTTTGCATGGTTTTTGTTTGGTTTTACTCTTTTGCCCTGGCGTCAGAAGTTGGTTTCTGCCCCTTTGGTATGAGGCTTGCTAGTATGACCTATTTTCTCTTTCACAAGTAAGCATTTTAAAAAAATGCTTTAAGATGGAAAATTTCAAATCTATGCAGAAGGAGAGAGAATAGTATAACAAACCCATGTAGGCAGCAATCAGTTTCAGTAGTTATTACCATTTAAAATGTATTATCTTTTTGATAAGAGAGGTAGGCAAAGCATTACTAACGAAACACTGAGAATAAAGTGTAACAAGGTTGTAGTAATCAGACAAGAGAATTCCATTTTAATTTGTTTAAACAATTTGAATTATAAACTTAAGCAAGATTTAAATAATGTTAAACATATGAAGTTATTAAAACTTGGCCAGCAAAATACTGCTTAACAGGAAGTAAATACAACTTATATTTAATTATATTATTCAGCAATTTAGGATAGTCTTTTTTAAAAAGACTTTATTTATTTTTAGAGAGAGGGAGAAGAGGGAAAGAAACATCGATGATCAGTTGCTTCTCACATGTGTCCCCACCAGATATCTAACCCACAACCCAGGCCTGTGCTCTGACCAGGAATTGAACTGGTGACCTTTTCTTTTGTGGAATGACACCCAACCTACTGAGCCACACTGGTCAAGGCAAATCTTGAATTCCTTTAAAATAATTTTTGGAGGCAGGCAAGGGACAAGTCATGAGTAAAATACTTCTTTTTATTGTCACCTGTCATTTCAAGAGGGTTAATTTTATTTTCTCAGCTAGGGACTAAGAAGAGAAATTGAGTCTTAAACTTTTCTGTCTGCCAGTGCCTCCACCAAATTATTTTATTGCTTTGTAAATAGCAAATAAGTTTTTATTTTTGATGATACTTCCTACGCATTTGCAAATTCTTGAAAATCAGAGTAATACCAACATTATTCATTTTATAATAAACTTTGTCCTAAGGTTATTTTTATGGAAAGTAAACCAAACCTGTTTTTGTGACTACAATTTTAGTAAAAATTTAATGATAACCATAGGAACAATAGCTGTCATTTTGTGTTTGCCACCTGCAAGATTCTAAACAATTTCATTAAATCCTCACATTGATTGTTTGAGGAAGTTTTAAGAAAATAATCCTCATTTTGTAAAATGGACCTCCGGTTTAGGGAAGAAAAAATAGTTTGCCCAATGTCACATAACTGGTACTACCTAGGGTTTTTAAAATAACGTTTTCTTCCTTAACTGGTGTGGCTCAGTGGACTGAGTGCCAGACTGTGAAGCAAAGGGTCGCCAGTTTGATTTCCCGTCAGGGCACATGCCTGGGTTGCGGACTAGGTCCCCAGTGGGGCGTGCGTGAGAAGCAACCACACATTGATGTTTCTCTCCCTCCCTTCCCTTCTTCTCTCTTAAAAAAGAAGAAGAAGAAGAAGAAATAAAATCTGAAAAAAAAATAATGTTTTCTCTTTGGGAAATTGGCTTCTGTACTAAATAAAATTCACAATTTGGTAAAACCAATAGATTTAAACTGTAATTTATTAATATAATCATTAGTTTTCTTTCTTTTTGATACTAGGCTACTGAATTCAACCAATGGAAGAATGTTCTATTTATCATACAGTTTCTTCTTTCCTGTTTTTTGGGGTAAGAAACCAAAGATAAATATAAGCTTTGGTCTATGGTATCTCTTGACAAGTCAAATCAAAATATACATTCTGTCTGTTCTGTCAAAATTCCTTTGTCCTTCAACTTTCTCTTGGAAGTACCCCTGTAACAGAGTAGTGGACTGGACTCATGTTACATGCCACATTCTGCTACAGATGTTGCCTACTGATTTCTGAAAGTTAGCTTCGAATGAAGTTAGCTGACATGTCAGATTCTGTACTGTGTTTGTTTTTGTCACAATGTCCCATGTTTACCAAGCTCCCCATTTTCTGTAGTGCTGTACCTACTATATTCAGGGAAATTTCTGAGCGATGTTGAGGCCATTATGTTGTCCAATAATTTTAAGCTTTTGCTTTTCAAATATTCCTTAGGTCTGTCTTCCTATCCAAAACCATGGAGTTGTATCTTATTTTCTTTTTTATGTTCCCAAATTTGAAAATTTTCATGTATAGATAATAATGCAGCTAGCACATAATCCAAAAGCTGCAAAGAAATGCACAGGTAACAGAAGCCACCCTTCCTCCCTCCCTCCTTCTCATTCATTCATTCGTTCACTCACTAGGAATTCCTTTCTTCCCTGCCCTGTAGCACTGCAGTTTTCCCCTCCAGAGGCTGTCACTGTTTGAAGACTTGGGAGTAGCCTTGCTGGGCTGGGCTCCCTGTGTAAACAAGCACCTGGGTCTTATCCCATATGAAAGGGTCTTTGAATGACTGTCTCAGAGAAGTACTTATCAAAACGCTTTTTCTGTAAAGAAACATGAATTTCTTTCGTATTTTTTAAATCATGAATACTACAGTTTTAATGATGTGTAAGTGAACTAAGACAATTCATGACTTCTTTGATCAATACTCAGTTATCAAACTGGGTTTTAATTGTATAAATTAGTCACATACAGTAAAAATATTTTATGTATATCCTCTAGTTCAGTAATCCCCTCTTCAGCTGCGTCTGATCTAATGTTTAACCTGATGATGGAGCTTTTGATTTTAGCATTTCATATTTTATTTGCCAACATTTAGCAGCTTTTCTTCTCAAACTTATTCTTAACATTCTTTCATTGGTGATCTTTGTGACTGTACCTTTTATTTCTTTAAATATTACATGCATAGCTATTCTGTATTCTGTATCTGATTATCCAACACTTGCAGTTCTTAAGAATCGAAATATGCACTTTGTTGACTAACTGTGTAGTTTGTCTTTATGGTTACTTCCTAGTGTGTTTGGTGACTTGTGATTGTGAGCATATTGCTTAATATTAATCAGTCCTATTGACTGAAATTGGGAATTTGAGAAACTTTCCTACAGGGACAAGTTGATTTTGCTCTAGCTGGTTGCCAGGTGTTGCCCCTGACCTAGACCACTTCAGGCTTTTTGGAGGGCCTGGGTTCAGTGGGCCACATTGGGCCATCTTCCCCATGTGGAGTTGGGCCCAGGGCTCCGTTTCCAGACTGTGCTGTTCTGCTGTGCCTCTGCCCTGAGGCAACCGCATCCTGCCCCACTGTCTGCTGCTCTGACTCTTGCGGGGCCGTCATTCCTTACTGCTGTGTACCCACTTCCCCCTCCTTCACAGGGGTGATTTTGAATGATCTCTTGTGCCTCTTTCAAGACCATCAGTCTCTCAAATAATGTATCCTTTCCAGTTATTGATTGTTCTGCAGTGGGAGAGTATTAAGTACTCTAAGTACTTAAGTAGCCACTGCTGGAAGCATGAGTTTAGTAAGATATTTGTTGTTTACCCAGTTGTTGACTGAGAATGTTCAACTTTGAAAAAAAATCTACTAAGCTACTAAGAGGGTAACTCATGTTGTGAGTTACCTTCTGTTAAACTATCTTTTTTTTCTTTTCCAATTAAGAAAAAAATCAACCCGTATCACACAAATTCAGACCAGCACCTTTCCCTGGCTCAGCCCAGTCACATGTGAACAGCAGAGCTAAGTGTCAAAGTCTTTTTTTCACGTGATTATAAACTTGATGAGATTCTTGTGCTTTATTATTTAACTGTCCCATGAGTGATATGGTCCGGCAGTGCCTGGATGTGAGCTGTCACTCTGGGGCCTGCCTGTGAGAGACTTGATTGACCCCATCTGTGTACAACTCCATACAATTTTTTTCCCATTTAAAAATATGCTTCTCAGCACTCAAATACTCTCTTGTTCAAAGTTCTTAATATATTAATCAGTGGCCACTTTGCAAATGGAAATGTCCCAAAGGCATAGTAATTATAAATAAATCAGTAAAATGATGAAATCATTAACATTTCAGATTTCACCCAACTTTAAGGATGAAAACATGGTAGGTCTCAGTTTTTTAAGTGGGTCTTTTGAGGCCACTAAAATTGTCACACCATTCCAAAAGTGAAGTGCCGGGGCTCTGGAATCAGACAGTCTGGGTTTCGGTTCTGGCTTTGCCACTTATAGTTCTGGGTCCTTGGATAAGCTCTTTAACCTTGCCAAGTCTTAATTTCCTCACCTTTAAAATAAGAACAGTGAGCTAAAGTGCCTGATTTATAAGATGGGGTTCTGTGGATTGAATGAGTAAAGAGCACTTAGAACAGGGCAGGTCACATAGAAAATGCTCAGTAAGTATTAAATATTATTGTTGTTAATATTTCCGTTTCTTATTCATAGATAGAGAGCAGGATGGCAGCTACGGTGGGGGTGGGTGGGTGGACGGATCAAGCAATAAGGAAAAAGGACTCGTGGACACGGACAACAGTGGGGTGGTTCCAGGGGGAAGGGGGGATAAGGGGGATAAATGGAAATGGAAAAAATAAAAAATATTTATTTCTTGATGGTGTCCTCTTCGGTTGGGCTGTCTTTTTTTACTTCAGATGATTTTGGTTTCTACCTATAGCAATGGGTTTTCAAGAGTGGTCTTTCTGTTACGTATACCTTACCTTCAGTGGTCAAGTTTTAATTATGAAACTGCTCTAGAAGGATGCTTCAATTTTGGCATGGTGGATTTTTCAGAATCCTTCTTTTTTGCAGTTTCTCACTCAGAGGACAGTATCTGATGGGGTCATTTGCTTCTTCATAGTAGTTGAGACCATTGTGAGCTTCTGAGAACATCCTTGGTTTCAGAGCAGCTGGCGCTGGGCTCAGGCTGTGCCCTTCTCTCAGGCCCCTGCTCAAGGAGCTTCTAACCCTAGACTCCAGAGGGCTCTGAGGCTCAGCTTCTTACTTACGTTTGCTGCTTTCAGGTTTGCATTTCATACTTAACTTTTTCCAACCATTGACTCTCTGTTCCAAGGTGAAAATAAATTTAAAAAAGTTACTCCACTTTAAAAATGTAATTTAAAAGTCAATGGAATTGTGAAGAGGAGAGACTTTTCTGTTGAGTTATGGTGAAGGACTCAGCTTTAAGAAATGCTACTTGTAATGCTACTTGTAATGTAAAGCATATAACAGAGTGAAATTATGTCAGGAAGACAAATTGGGCTGTAGAAGCTAAGATAGTAAAATATAGACTGTAACTTAAGTTGACCAGCTTTATTTTAAAAAGCTAGTTCTGCAGACCTTTTTAACCTTGCTGAGAAATGACAAGGTTCTGGTTCATTCATACCAGCCACTGGGACCAGCCCCTAGGCTCAAAGACGATTATCCTAATCTGTTTCTGCCCCAATAAGAGTGCCCCCCCTTTTAAAGATTTTATGTACTTATTTTTAGAGAGAAGGGAAGGAAGAAAGAGAGGGAAAGAAACATTAATGTGTGGTTGCCTGTCATGTGCCCCCAACTGGGGACCTGGCCCACAACACAGGCATGTGCCCTGACTGGGAATTGAACCTGCGACTCTTTGGTTCACAGGCTGGCACTCAGTCCACTGAGCCACGCCAGCCAAGGCAAGGCCCTTTAATCCCACTGAAACAATAATAGGTTCCTTAATAAAAACACCAATGCATCAAATTTCCCTACTTACGGGATAAAAAAATGTTTTGTTCTTTGAACTTTCATTGATCATGCCAAGATGTAGCATACAGGAGAAAACAGGATTCTGTAGATTCTTGGGCACAGGAACTGCAGAACTGTTAAAGACAGCAGATATTCCCATCATTTCCCAGCAAACCAAATCATAGTGTGTAATCCACGCACTAGGAAGATGGGCCGTACCTATCCCATGACTTCAGCATTCTTGCACATCATGGAGTGCTGGATTTGGAGTGAGTTTCTACCAGAGATGGGCAAGGTGAGACTTCTTCAAATTCTTTGAAACCTAGAATTAGGAAAGAGGAATGTTCTGGGGCACCATTGTAGTTGGTGCAAGGAGTGTTAAAGTGGCCTTTTATTATTTGAACATTTGTTTTGAATTTCTGTATGTGTTTGTACATGGAATGGTAACCAGAAACAGGTTGTAAACGAGGTCATTTCAGTTCTGTTGTGACTGGCACGATTGTGTCAGACAGGCGTAGGTAAATGGTTTCGTTGTTGTTGTTTTTTTGGTGGGTGTGTCATTTACAGAAACAGGAAGAAACCTTCGAGCAGGGGTTCTGGCCCAGGGCTGTCCACATGGGCACCTCTGTCCCTGGGGCCCTATCAGCCAAAACATGCAGCTGGCATTTGCTGTCGGAATAAATGTGTATCACATATATGTGCTATTATTTTTCAAACGTACACAGATGATATATGATTTTAAAAATGCAGAATGGCAAAAGCTGATGAGCATTTGCAGTGCTTTTAAATATCTTTGCATTTTATTCACCCACAGGTGCTAAACTCAAAACTCCTATCATGTGAAGGTTGACTTTCTGGTGTTAAAAGTGGTGTAGTTTCCTTTGGACTGGGTTCCTAGAGGTTCTTTTGGTTTAGAACCTTTGTCTTTGCCAAAGGACTGCATAGGTACTTATTTACATGTAGAAATACATTATGTTTCTTAGATAAAAAATTAATACACTACTTTGATCTTAGTGGTCTTATATTCATCCTCTTTGGGGACATCTAGTGGTTACACTAAGAGGTGCAGCCGTTTTGTCTGGACACCATCTGTTGCAGAGAACTGCTTGCTAATGCAGGCTCCTCCTGGGTGTTAGAGAGGGTCACTCTTCCCGGCTCACCCCAGCTGGTGAGTGAGTGTCCTAGTTGCCCCACTCTTGGGTATTAGAACCTTAGATCCAAGGTGTCTGTGATTCTGAATGCAGGCCAAGATGGTTTCACTAAAATGTTAGTGTGGAGAAAATGCTGCATGATGGGAACCCTGGAATAGCAATTTTTAAGTAACAATAAAAATAAAGAACATCCATGCTCGTCCTGGGTTTAAGGCCACACTGCAGTTGGGGAAGCCTGCGGGAAACTTTTCTGTGTTCCTTAAACTGGGTTGGTCCCCTCCCCTGACTTGTAATCTCTGTGATTTCAGTAGACCCTGAGCTCCTCCAGTAGATGCTGTGGGTACTGTTCTCTTACAAACCAGGCCCAGCAGAGCAGGCAGTAGTTAACGTCCGGCTGAGTTTTTTAATCCTTTCATTTCATGCAGGAGTAGGATTACTCATAGTTCTGCAGCGCCCTAAATTAATGTTGAACTTACTAATGTACAATTTTTAAAAACTTAGATTTCGTAAAGCCTTTAATACAAAAATACTGTTGCTCTATTTATAAAACTAGTAATTTTTGTAAAAATATAATTTTACTTTTATTATTTGATTAATGGTTTGTTATTTCAAGTTTAACTGATTAAAATCTCCTAAACAATTTACTATAAATTAGTCCCATTTACAACTTAGTGAATTAAAATTTGTTTAACCTTTTGAAACTGCATTTACAAACGTGATTTACTCCCCCCCCCCCAGTAATTTCTAGCCTTCAGAACTGCTCTAGCAAAGCTAATGAACCAGGTCGCTTTACACACCCAAGCAACTCTTTGAAACTTAGTAAACCCATGTTGAAAATGTAGTAAATCAGCTGCTTTTCAACATTCAGATACTTTGTACCAATTTCTCAGATTCTTACTCCTTTCAAATGAATATTGCAAGTTTAATATCAATTGCACATTTCAAATTAAAACTACAAAGGCCGAGATGTTGGCTTCTCTAACTTGTCAAATTGTTGTAATTATCTTAATAACAAATACACATTTTTCTGAGAATTACAAAATTTAAGATTGTAATTGAGTTAATTCCTCAACTTTATGTTACAACTTGGTATATTGTACTTTATCTCTAATTTTTTCTCTACCACATCTGCTAATATACATCTTAGACCAAAAATGATTACTGTGTTAATTTATGATTCTGTTACTAATGATGAGGGATTTGGGCCTGGACTGGAGACTGAGCACTAAATTCCTGCCGGATGTACTTACCAGGTGCACAGGCCGAGTCCTTTCTTATGGTCTGGTTCCCTCTGTCTGTCATTGGGGGATCCAAGTTCCTGCCTTCTAACTGGAATTTAGCTTTAAAATCCAACACCTCTTCTGCCCTCTCTATTTTTCCAGTTTCATTCTCAACCAGTTGTGATTGTAATCTCTTTCACCATTTAATCACCTGATTTAGGTGGATGGTATTTTGCATCCCATTTAGGTTGAAGCTAATTTTCTTCACAGTTTGATTGAAATGAATCTGTTTCTTTATCTGAGATTGGACTGTAGATTCTTTCCTGGGTATATATATAGTCTTGTCTGGTGCTTGGTCACAATTCTGCAGTCATTTTATTGACAAGTGAGTGTGTAAATACTGGACAGTGTCGAATGCCTGTTGAACTAACTTTGGTAACGGGTACAGGAGTACCGCTGACATGGGGAATCCATTCTTTTCACTCTCCTTTGTCCAAAGCCAGTGACTGCTTAGCTGATTTTCCTTTCTATTTTTCTTTTTAAAGATTTTATGTATTTACTTTTAGAGAGAGGGTAAGGGAGGGCAACAGAGAGGGAGAGAAACATTGTTATGTGAGAGATCAGTTGCCTCTCACACGCCCCCAACCTGGGACCTGGCTCATAACCCAGGCATGTGCCCTGACTGGGAATTGAACCAGCAAGCTCCTGGTTTGCAGGCTGGTGCTCAGTCCACTGACCCACACCAGCCAGGGCTGATTTGCTAAACACCTGTGGTTCTCAGAGCTGGCTGCACATGGGGTTCATCTGTGGAGTTTTGAGACTACACAAGGGATGCACCTCAAACTGCTGGAAAGAGAACCTCCTCCAAGGATCATTATGTGTTAAAAGTGCATCAGGTGATTCTGATGCACAGAGAGGGTTAAAAACCAGTGTGTAACGTAGCTATCAAATGAAAGGTTTCAGATCATTTAAAAAATCTCATTGTTCTTACCTCCTTTTCAAAGAAATGTGAATGAGAAAGAGACAAAATGAGAAGGACACAAGGTAGAAAGTTTGGCGAATGCACGACTAGACCATTTATCTGTAAAAAGTCAGAGTTAAAAAATGTTTTAAGATGTAGGTCCTACAAGTCTTTGTGGTATTAAAGTACCTGTGCGTGGGTCACTCGCTGACTCATTCTGAACTAGTCTGTCATTGTTACCCAGCACCGCCAGACGCGCACTCAGTGTTTGCTCCCTTGCCCAGGTTCCTGTTGATGTACTCCACGGTGCTGTGCAGCTATTACAACTCGGCCCTGACGACAGCGGTGGTTGGAGCCATCAAGGTAACTGGGGGAAGGCTTGCAATGTATAATCAGATTGAGAACTTGACTGTGAATCCAGTCTTTACAATAAACCTGAGTTTGACTCTATCTTTGATATCAGTGGTTGTCAGAATGGAGGCTTGTGACATTTTCAGCGGTGCCTGGGTGATCCTTTCTCCTGTCTTCTGATCTCCTAATTTATAGAACAGAGGGAGGACTAGCTACTTTAAAAAGGAGAGGCAAATTATATTTTTAAATTGGGAGGAGAGGATGATTTGGGAAAATGAAATAAAAAAGCTGAAAAATGCCCAGTTTCTGCACTGACCAAAATGTCTTGTCATCTACGGTTTGGTTTTCTGGGAGAATCTGCCAACTTAGCTAATTCTTGTGAAGAACAGTTTCAGTCTCTATATATGCTCAACTATAGGGTGATAAACCCGTAGATTGGCATGGGTATTTGCATGTGTGCGTACAAGCATTTGAATACACTCACGAATGACAGAGGGTAGGGTTGTTCTGAGTTCCCTTCTACAGGTGCTTTGTTTTTTTTCTTCACATGACTCCCAGTTGATGGTAAAGAGATGGGATCTGAAAGTTGATTACAGCCCAGCTCTTACATCTTTTTCCTGTGCATGAACTGGAAGGGGGTATGAATAATGCAGTTTTCTTGTGTTAGTCGTGCCATAGTTTACTTCATTTTTAAAATAAAGCCTAGCAATAAATTTTTATTCATCCATCCAACATCTGTGAATGCATGCTCTATGCAGAGTAACTAAAATATTTAGTTTCAGATTTCACCCTATTTTTCTCTTAAATTCTTTACTTTTGAAGTGACCAGTCCTCTCTTTTCCTGCAGAATGTATCCATTGCCTACATTGGGATGTTAGTTGGTGGAGACTACATTTTCTCTGTGTTAAACTTCGTAGGATTAAATATTTGGTAAGTGGGATTTTTAAATGAATTCATTTTAGCAAAATATGGATTTTTAAAAGTCTGATCAATAGGCTATAAGTGAAAGAATGAAAAGTGATTTGACATGACAATTTCTAAGGTAATTTTACCTAAACCACTCAGTTCACCTGTTTTTATGACATACTCCCTCATGTCGATCCTGGGGTCATGAGGAGTTAACATTCTAGGGGCTGAGGTCTGAAATCAAGTCGTGTGTCTTCCTCCCAGAAGAGGCCCCTGCATTATCTGTCTTCCTCTAGTGAAGTGGGCCTCGTTCGGCTTGTGCTCTCTCAAAGCACCACGTGCTAAGGGTGCTCAGGGGAGTGACGAATATACTTGTAAAAGGCCTTTTGGGGTCCCAGACATGGGATGCTTTTTAGGATAATAATGTATAGTTTTTTCAGTAATAACCAACTGCATATTTTCTCAGTAAGGTTCTATATTACATTTGATTTACTCTTTTTTTTCTGCCCCAGAAGATTTGTAAATAAGAGGGCTAATTCCAATCAAGTAATCTATAAACGAGGAGGACCAGGGGGCTCAGTAATTTCCCCAAGTTAAGCTGTGTTTATGAAGGTGGCAGTGACTGCTGGTTTTTAAAAAAATTTTTTTTTTTTTTATTTTCACTCTCATTTTTCCTCCTTTCAGCATGGCAGGGGGCTTGAGATACTCCTTTTTGACTTTGAGCGGCCAGTTAAAACCTAAACAACCTGTGGATGAAGAAAACATCCCCCCAGATTTGAAGAGTTAGACTCTGAGGCAGAACCGGAGACGGACCTGCTGTCTGGCGGCTACGAGGAGGGTCGTCCCAGATGTGGGAAAGCGAAGCCAGACGTTGGAGGTGTGGGATATCCTCTGGTGAAAGCAAGAAAAAAAAGGCTGCAAAATGAGAAAATCTACCTCACACGCACTGCACAGTGAGCCATCATCGCCCTGAGAAATGTGTCCGGACAAAGTCTTACCAGCCAAAAGTGAATCTTCTCAAAATAAGCCACTGTTTAAAGGGATTGTTTCCAGGGGTCCTGTGTGGTCGATCACTCTTCTTCTGTTCACTGCTATTGCGTGTGCTTAAGAGGAGGTACAAGGTCGACGCTGAGAAGGTGATTACTTTCTTATCAGCACCTTTGCCTTAATTTCAAAGGTCCCAGCCAAAGCAAAGTGACAGTGAGAGCATTTTTTTAGTTTAAACAGATGTATTTTTATTTTCATTAAATTACCCAGTTAACTGCCAGTAGAATTATGTGTTAGCTTTGATTTGATCTTACATGTTGGTATTTTTCCCAGTCTTCAAAGTAAAATAAAAAATAATTTATATGCATGTCTCTTACTGTGTATGATATTATGGTAGACAGGCAGAAAAATAAGTCTGTTCTTCCCCCTGCCTTCAAAAGTGATACTCCTTTTAAGGTTTGTATTGGGGAAAATTGCAAAATAACTCAATGGAGCATTCTACAAGACTCTCTGTGCCCTGCCAACATTTAAATATCTCATATTTTTCTCCTTATCCCCCTCCAAGTTTGTTCAGGGGGCTGTGAAATTCATATCATGTGGACTTTAACCAAAGTTATATGTCCTTCTAGGCCTGCTTGACCTCCCAGGTCCATAGTGTGTGGGAAGGAGCCCCAAGTGGGTGGAAGTCATCATTACTCCATGAAGAAATGTGCTGTCCCCATGGGGTTGGGGTGCAGGGTAGGGCCTCAGCCTGGGAGACAAGAGCCTTTCTGTAACTGAGCCAACCAGGGCCTGGTCACATGGTGCCTTGGTGTATGACCCAACAACTACTGCTGAGGGAAACAGGTTTTCATTTACAGGGGGTGGGGGGAAGCACTGAGAGTACTCCAGCTCAGAGCCCTGCTCTCCCTTGAGAGCCAGCACTTCCCTAGCTCCCCTCCAGGCTATAATCCAGAAACAAGCCCGGTTGTTCCCCATATCCTTACCTGTTCTTAAGCCACTGCACAAACAGTTCTCCATCCCCTCTGGAAATGTGCACTCCTGGGTTTCAGAATCGCCATCCTCTCGCAGCAGTTCTCTCCTTCAAGATCTGGGGGACGTTGTCCTCAGCCTCCATGTGATAGTCCAAGAAATCGTGCCTTGTTACACTGGATCATGGTGAAGTCTGGGAAGGAACATGTACCAAGAAAGTGGCTTCTCTGTATGTCTCAGAGAAGCAAGTCTACAGTCTCAGCATTCCCAGTCACAGTTCAGCATTCCAGGTGTCTCCCACTCATCTGTTTTTGGTTAGGCAGGTCCTCGCAGTTCCCAGCAGCATCAGCGTGCTGCAGTGTTCTCCAGGCAGGTTTCCCAGCGGGTCTCCTCTTTCTCCCTCCAGCTCCTTCCTTACTACAACAGGCCGCCTGGCAAAACTGCATATAAACTGCATAGCTGCTTGCTGCTTTCTCAGACTTCATGGCCGGATCCCTCATGACGCCGCTGATGGCTGCCTGCTCAGAGGAGCAGATGTAGCTTTTCCCTCACTACAGGCAGCATGGCTGCCCTCTTCGCTACAGACCAACACAGCTGCTACCTACTCACTCTCAGCCCTCATGGTGGACCAGCCTTTCTCTCTCTCTGCCCAACCTTAGTTTAAATCCTGACTCAGAGCTTCCTGTGTGACCTCATCTCCGGCCCCTCCTACAATGAGCTACATTTGCCAGTTTCCAGTGTCTTCTACCCTTTCTTGGTGGCCATCTTTAGTCAGGGCAAGAGTTCCCCTGACACGGGCTTCCAGGAAGGGCACTCACCTTCCCTGGCTATGTCCTGAGTCACTAAATGCTCCGAGTCAGGTAGATACCTTTCACTGGAGGAGGTAGCACAGCTTACCCTTCAGGAAAGACAGGGCTATCCACTTGCCATTGTAATGCAAAGTATCTTAAATGCTGTATCATCTGCTCTCCTTTTCCCCATCCCCCAACCATGGGCTCCTATATTTTTGAGGACCCTTGCTTTGATCCCTTTTCATTTCCTTCTACCCTTGTCTTTATTGCTAACCCACCAAGACCTTTGCAGTTCACCTTGCATTGCGGCCTCCATTATATTAACCTGTAAAACTGAGCTAGATCTTTAAATCCTCCCCCAGCTCTTTCTAAATTCCTAGAAGCTGAACCAGATATGGGCAGAACAGCAAATGAAGGAATGATTGTGCTGATGTATCGTTTCAATTTACTTAAAATTTTTTAAAAGACATTTTAATTGTAAAATACACATAAAATTTACTCTCAACCATTTTTGAGTGTACAGTTGAGTAGTGCTAAATACACTCACATTTTTGAACAACCAATCTTCAGAACTCTTTCATCTTGCAAACTGAAACTCTGTACCCATTAAAGAGTAACCCCTCATTCCCCTCTGGCAACCACCATTCTACTTTTTGTCCATATGAATTGCACTGTTCTAGGTAACTCGTATAAGTGGTATCATACAGTATTTGCTTTTTGTGTCTGGGTCACTTCTCTTGAGGATAATAATGTCCTGAAGGTTCATCTATGTTATAGCATGTGTCAGAATTTCCTTCCCTTTAAAGGCTAATATACCATCATAGGGATATACCATGCTGTGTTGACCCATTTAGTGGACATCCTGTCGATGGATTTTTGGATTATTTCCACTTCTTGGCCATGTGTTGAATAATGTTGCTATAAACGTGGTATACAAATACATCTTTGAGACCATGCTTTTACTGTATTTTGCCATAAAATACACATCCACGTTTTTGGCCCAGACTTTTAGAAAAAAATCTTCTGTTTTAATTTTTTAATTCAATTTTTTATTTATTCATATTTAGAAACAAAACCGAGTATTGTATTCCATGGTATTATTTTGTATATGGGTATTGGTATTACTTTCTAGGGTTACACTTTTAATGCATAAGCATAAATAAAAGAATTAAAAACACTCATATAGATACAGAATTAGTGCTACCCATGTATAGTGCACATCCTTATTTTTCCCTTAAAAGTTTGGGCAAAATATTGTGCATTATACACAGCAAAATATTAAATGAAACTTGTTTCTTCTACACTCAGGGCACTCCTGAAAGCAAATATGTGGGGTCTCTTTTTCACATTAAACAGTTCTCCAACTCTCTGGACACCAACTGGATGTCCTATAATTGAATTCCGATACTACCCGCAGTTAGCACAAACCCCACAAGTAAAGGGCTCAGCCCCTCAAGACTGCCTCTCCAGTACAGATGCCAATTCTAAGTCCCAGGTTGTGACTGGTGCTCAAACTAGCCAGCCATAAACCAGGGGGTTCCCTTCCTGAGGTTCAATGATTTGCTAGAATGGCTTACAGAACTCTGAGAAGTGTTCTACTTTCTATCACCAATTTATTATAATGGATACAACTCAGGAACACTCAAAGGGAAGAGATGCAGAGGACAAGATAGGTGGGAAATGGTTTGGAGCTTCCACAAGCCCCCTGAGCCAGCTGCTCTCCCAGCACATCCATGTATTCACTCACCGGAAGCTCCCCAAACTCCCTTTTTAGGCTTCATTACTTTTAGCCACAGTAAAACGGACCAGAGCTGCACAATTTTACTTTCCTTGTACAATAATAGCCCACAAGGTTTCCAATGTCTTCACATTCTGTCTAACACTTGCATTTACTTATTTATTTATTTATTTATTATTTTTTTTGTAGGAACCATCCTAACGGTTATGAGGTGGTATCTCATTGTGGTTTTCATTTGCATTTCCCTGATGATTAGTGATATTGAGCATCTTTTTAAACGCTAATTGACCATTTGTATGTCTTCTCCAGAGAAATGTCTGTTCAAATCCTTTGCCCATTTTTGAATGGGATTGTTTGGTTTTTGTCGTTGAGTTGTAGGAATTCTTTATTTTATCAGTTTACTTTTTACTTTTTAAAAGGCTTGTGGATTGTGACCTTGGTGCTCCCAAGCTGTGTAACCGCTGTCTCTGGCATCATTAACATCATTTCTGAAACCCAGAGACCAAAGTGCTAAGATTTGAAAAATGTAAATGTAAATTTCTCATTTTTCCAGTGACAAAAAACAAAAAGATTTTGCTTTCTTCCAAAATTTCTTTCTAATTTTTATTTTTAGGAATCTTAAAGGAAATCACTTTTGTGTTTTCATAAAGTTTTAGTTTGGTCAATATTTTGTTTTCATTGCTAGAATGCCTGGGAGTGGGAGTTGTTACTGGAATTTTTTCTTTTGCAATCACCCCGGCACTGTTACCTTTTCTTAAATGACCCTTCTTTTTACTGGTGTGGAGACATCTACTCCTGCCTTCCATCTGTGGCCAGCAGAGGGCACCCTAAGAGCAGCACAGCACCCTTGTGACTGGGTTGAAACTCGGCAATTTCTGCTATATCGATAAAGAGCCAGATTCTAGAGGGGTGGGGTTGATGGCAGTTCCAATCTGGCTTTTAAATTAAGGTTAGTTGAGGGTGCTGGATGTAGGGAGGTGGTACAGAAAGGGTCCATGTGCTCCAAGGAGGCTGAAGAAATGTAACCCAATGCCTTAGGTCTCCAGATTTCTTTTTTTCTTACAAAAAATCACAAAAATCACTCTGGATGGGGCAAATAAAACTATCCTTGACATTCTGCTTATTTCTGGCTATTGTACTGCTAATAATAGCAATTTATTTGTTAATCTGGATTTTTTTCTGCTGTTAAAAAACAGGTTTTTTTTAATCCTCACCCGAGGATATGTTTATTGCTTTTAGAGAGAGAGGAAGGGAAAGGAAGAGAGAAACATCGATGTGAGAGAAACACCCCATTGGTGGCCTCCCGCAGGTGCTCCCTGACTGGGGATGGAACCTGCAGCTTTTTTGGTGCACCAGGCGATGCTCCAACCAACTGAGCAACTTGGCCAGGGCTTTTCTGATGTTTTAATATTTTTTCTGTATAGTAAATATATCTCAAGTACAGGAGTTTTGTAACAGCTGAGTTTGCTTCAATAAAAGAACCTAGTTTAGAGACTAAGCTTATATATGTTATATATTTTACATATGTGTATTATTATATAATACATATATAGTATATAACTATATATGACATATTTTATTTATATTCATTTCCTGTGCCTTCAGGAAAATGATGAAGGTACATATGTCAGTAATTCCAGAATCTTTAGTTATTTGTTTTCCTTTTGCATGACCACTTCAATTTTTAAGTCCTGGTGAATCCTTCTATGCCTTGCCAGTCATTTCTGTGTTCTGTGAATGGATATGGGTACTTGTGCTGAGACTTACCAAGGATCAGCAACTCAGCTGACCAGCAGCTCTTACTCGCTGGTATTTTTCAGTAAACAGAGGGAGCCCAGCAGCTCAGAATCTC